CTCGTGAATAGAAAGGGAAAGGAATATTGACATATATATACATAAACAAATTAGGATTGAGATAATAAGGAAATACAGAGAGATATAACGAGACTGAAATGAAGTGTTGTGAGGTCGGTGGAAGTTTTAGTTTTATCAACTTTGGTTACGTAACGATGAATACGGTGTTGGGAATACGTCTGTGTTTCTTCTTTTTGTCTTCGTTTCTTTTCTTCTTTTTATTTTCTTTCATTCTTTGTTTTGTGTTTTAATCTGTAAGATTTGGAACTGTTTCTTCTTTGTTTTGATGTATTGTTATATTTTGTTGTTAATATTATATTTTATTGTTAATATTAATAAATAAGTTTCTCAGTTAAAAAGAGAGAGAGAGAGAGAATGCCCAAGAGTAAAATGAATGCTGCAAACCGGTGGGGCGATCTCAAGCAACGACTGGGGGGAAGTTTCCCCGGAAGCGAAACGAACCACAAAAGTAACGTAGATGACATAACACATCCCATCCTGCCATATTCTACTCATAAAAAAGAGGCAAATATATATTACCAATCTTGATGGTAATCCCCTTTGGGGGGGCATATATTGGGGGCTAGAGGCAAAAAAGAGTGGAACAGCAACAACATGAGCAGAACGCAACCCGTGTCTGCGCATGCGCGGGTCACAATTCGCCACTTCTGCGCATGCACGTGACATCACTTTGAGCATCTGCGCATGCGCGAGTGGCGAAACCTTGAAGTAACCCTTTCCAGCACTTCCGGGTCGCCGCGGGACGCAACCTGAAAAGATTTAACTTGAAGCAAACGTAACAAGAGGTATGACTGTACTAGGCTAGTTTCCACACACACTCCAGCCCCGTATGCACCACACATTGAAAGTGTGTGACTTTCCCAAAGGATTCTGGGAGCAGCAGCTCACCTGTCACAGAGCTGCCACGATCTCCTTGAACAAACGACAGCTCCCAGAATTCCTTGGGGGAAGCCATGGGGTGCTTGTGCAGCCGACACTGAAGCCTCTGAAGTAGGGTTGACATATTTCAAAAAGGCAAAATTCGGACACAAAAGCTGTTCCGCAAAATTTTAAAAAAATAAAAATGAGCTTATTTTCAAGGAAATTTGCGATTTCCACCCGGACGCTGTTTATGAGGGACAAATCCTGACTATGTGAGGGAAATTCTGGACACACGGAAGCCCTGTTTTGAAGAATTTCAGGGCCTTGGTGGACACCCCATTTGTCCCCACCATTTTACAAGCAACGCAATATTTTGCTCATTTCTCCCCTGGAGAAGATTGCTGGGGCAGGGGGTGTCATTCCCCCCCCCCTTTATTCATTTCGCTTTTATAGAAAGGTGGTATACAAATTAAAAGAGAAATGAAAAAAGGGGGGAAATGTCATAGACAACATAGAGAGCAGAGACTACACACGTGATAACAATATGATCCACTAAAAAAAAAAAATCACAATTGCTTTAAAATGCACAACTTATATCAAATAAAGCAATATTCAATAATGTATTAGAATATAATAGTAAACAATCAAATTAAATATCAGCAAATAATTTTACAGTTATCAATTGCAATAAAGAATTACTAAACTGTAATCAGGGGACGCGGGTGGCGCTGTGGGTTAAACCACAGAGCCTAGAACTTGCCGATCAGATGGTTGGTGGTTTGAATCCCCGCGATGGGGTGAGCTCCCGTTGCTCGGTCCCAGCTCCTGCCAACCTAGCAGTTCAAAAGCAAGTCAAAGTGCAAGTAGATAAATAGGTACCGCTCCGGCGGGAAGGTAAACAGCGCTTCCGTGCACTGCTCTGATTCGCCAGAAGCAGCTTAGTCATGCTGGCCACATGATCCAGAAACTGTACACCGGCTCCCTCGGCCAGTAAAGCGAGATGAGCGCCGCAACCCCAGAGTCGGTCACGACTGGACCTAACAGTCAGGGGTCCCTTTACCTTTAAATTTAAACTGTAATCAATAAAAAATAACGGCAAGTCACAAGGCATAAAATACCACAGAACACACAAAACGATGTAAAAGGGTCATATTGGGAAACAAGGACACACAACTTATGATTTTTATTATTATTATTTTATATCCCTGTACTCTTCTCTTCCCAGCAGCTTCTGCCGTTCTCAAAGAGATGGTCTGGGAAAGGATGCTAGGGCTGGAGGGTGGAACAAGGCAGGTGGAAAAATCCATTGCCTGGTGAACCACACAGTCTCTCTCCGCTCACGGCGACTCGGCTTTGCAGCTCACCCAACTTCCCCCCAAAATGAGCAGAGCTGAAGAGCAAACACACCTGGGCGGACTCAAAGGCGGTTTGCTTAGCTGTTTGGCAAACCGGAGCCATCTCGGTATACAAACAGTCAGCTGGGGAAAGCGCCCGGCAAAGGGACAGATTAGGACATCTTATCTTTAGATTTCCTTCCCGCTGGCTGGCCATGCTCAGATTCTCTCTTTAATCACGCCATTGTAAGATCATTAGTTTTCCTGGACAACAATAACTGTCAGTTTCACATCTGGACATGGCGAGAACAGATAGGGATACGCAAACAAGACAGGGACCCCCCCCCCAAGTCTTGTTACAAGGTGGCCAAGTTCCAATTTTGCAGGTGAAACTCCCGTTTCGCCATATCGCTCCGCTCCTAGCAGGCTCGCCGATGGTCTTGATACTATCTTAACAGAAATGAAGGTACAGTGGTGCCCCGCAAGACGAATGCCTCGCAAGACGGAAAACCCGCTAGATGAAAGGGTTTTCCGTTTTGGAGGTGCTTCGCAAAATGAATTTCCTATGTGCTTGCTTCGCAAGACGAAAATGTCTTGCGAGTTCCTGTGGTTTTTTTTCCCTCCCCCCCCCTTTTTCCCAAGCCGCTAAACCGCTTATCAGCTGATCGGCTAAGCCGCTTAACAGCTGATTGTTAAGCCGCTTATCAGCTGATCGTTAAGCCGCTTATCAGCTGATCTTTAAGCCGCTTAACAGCTGATCGCTAAGCCGCTTATCAGCTGATCCGCTAAGCCCGCTAAGGCGCTAATACTGCAGCGCTACTCCGCTAAACCGCTAATGGGCTTGCTTCGCAAGACGAAAAAACCCGCAAGACGAAGAGACTCGCGGAACGGATTATTTTCGTCTTGCGAGGCACCACTGTACCAGCTTCACCTGGCGGGATGAAGCCCCAGTGGCCGGCCTCCCGACACGGCTGCTGCTGCATCTTACCTGGGCAGCATTGGGTGGCACAGGCAAAGTCAATCTAGTGCTCGTGCCAATGTTCCCAGGAAGCCCCGACCTCACCACCTGCATCCTGCCATTTTGGGGAAATCTCCCACCAAGGGCCCCGGCTGTGTATTTTCTGAGGCACAGGAAGTAAACAGGCATCTGATCAGGAATTGCCCCTGAAATATACTCAGAGTCGCAAAGTGATTTCATGCTCTTTATTCAGCTCATAGTGATGAGGAGGAAGAATGAAAGTCCCCTCAAAGTATCTGCTTATATACATTATTTACACAATGGGCTGCACATGATTGGCTAATTCCGGAATTCTCCTGTAGGCCAATCAGGTTGTGGATTCACTTCTATCTGCAGCATGGTTGGGTGGTTCCTGCCGACCAATCATACTGCTGCATTGTTCTAGGACCAATCTGACTGCTGCATTCTGAATCCTATTGTTCTAGGACCAATCAGACTGCTGCATTTTGGATCTATTGTTCTAGGACCAATCAGACTGCTGCAGTTTGGATCCTATTCAACTCAGTACATAACAGCCCCTTTATTTTTTGCTCAGATACAGATATAATATTTGATACAGTGGTGTCTCGCAAGATGAAAAGAATCCGTTCCGCGAGTCTCTTCGTCTTGCGGTTTTTTCGTCTTGCGAAGCAAGCCCATTAGCAGTTTAGCGGATTAGCGCTATTAGCGGCTTAGTGGGCTTAGCGGATCAGCTGATAAGCGGCTTAGCGGCTTAGCGGATCAGCTGATAAGCGGCTTAGTGGCTTAACGGATCAGCTGTTAAGCGGCTTAGCGGATCAGCTGATAAGCGGCTTAGCGATCAGCTGTTAAGCGGCTTAGCGGCTTAGCGAATCAGCTGATAAGCGGCTTAGCGGCTTGGGGAAAAGGGGGGGGGGGAAAACCCCCGCAGGAACTCGCAAGACATTTTCGTCTTGCAAAGCAAGCCCATAGGAAATTCGTTTTGCGAAGCACCTCCAAAACGGAAAACCCTTTCGTCTAGCGGGTTTTCCGTCTTGCGAGGCATTCGTCTTGCGGGGCACCACTGTACTTCCAGCTGATGAAAGTGAATACATCGAAACAGGGCCCTGTCCTGGTTTCTGATCCATAATTGACTTCTGACTTCTGCTCAAGGATTGAAACTAAGACCTTCACGTCGAATCTGACTATGGACTAACATGATCTTATCTCTACTCATAAACTCTTATTTCTAATTCTGTAACGAATATTTATTGTGTTATACATATTCTTATGAGTTTGAGTTTGTAATCCTTGTCAGAATACATACTTTTGAATGGATTAGTTTTTGTTACAACTATTGATTTGCGAGTAGGGACCACTCCCACTACTGAAACTTACACTGGCCTGAGTTCTTGGTGTGCTTTCTTCTTGGTATATTTAATAACAAGAACTCCAACTTATTTAACGATAGAACAGGGGTCAGCAAACTTTTTCAACAGGGGGCCGGTCCACTGTTCCTCAGACCTTGTGGCGGGGTGGACTATATTTTGGGGGGGGGAAATATGAATGAATTCCTATGCCCCACAAATAACCCAGAGATGCATTTTAAATAAAAGAACACATTCTACTCATGTAAAAACACGCTGATTCCCGGACCATCCACGGGCCGGACTGAGAAGGCAGTTGGGCCAGATCCGGCCCCTGGGCTTTAGTTTGCTTACCCATGCCATAGAATCATAGAGTTGGAAGGGAAGATGGGAAGGCCTGGGGGAAAACCCAGAAAAATGGAAGGGACCACTTTTTTCCTGTTTTTCCCCGTTTTTTTGCCTAAAGCCATTTTTTCCCCGGAAAAATTGGGGGGGGGGGGAATTGATATAGTTTGAATATTCCACACACTTTTTTCCTTCTTCATTTTTTCTGGGGAAAAAATGGCTTTGGAAAAAAACAGAAAAAATCTGGGTTCCCCCCACCCCAATTTTTCCGGGTTTTTCCCAGGCCTTTCCATCTCTAGAAGGGATCCCAAGGGTCATCTAGTCCAACCCCCTGCAATGCAGGAATCTCAGCTAAACCACCCATGGCAAATGGCCATCCAACCTCTGCTAAAAACCTCCAAGGAAGGAGAGTCCACAACCTGTAAAGGCTTGCCTAGCACTTTTGTTACATATCTTTAGGCACCAGGCAAAAACATTTCTTCATAACGAGGCATTTGGCTGATTAAACCATCTTTAGCCTTTTAAATGTGCTTTGGGGGAGGGGGCGCTATTGGTTTTTGTTTGTTATGCATTCTGTGATCTCATTTTGTATCTTTATGTCGTGAAATGCTCTATGATCTTGGGATGACAGGTGGTATACAAATAATAATACAGTGGTACCTCGGGTTAATAACTTTATTCGTTCTGGAGGTCCGTTCTTAACCTGAAACTGTTCTTAACCTGAGGTACCACTTTAGCTAATGGGGCCTCCCGCTGCCGCCGAAGCACAATTTCTGTTCTCATCCTGAAGCAAAGTTCTTAACCCAAGGTACTATTTCTGGGTTAGCGGAGTCTGTAACCTGAAGCGTCTGTAACCCGAGGTACCATTGTAATAATATTAAACTACCCTGATTATTGTAGGAAAATGCATCTTAATCCAGCCTTTCCATTGAAATCTCTGGTGAAGTACAGTGGTACCTTGGGTTGCAGACGCTTCAGGTTACAGACTCCGCTAACCCAGAAATAGTACCTTGGGTTAAGAACTTTGCTTCAGGATGAGAACAGAAATTGTGCTTCGGCGGCAGCGGGAGGCCCCATTAGCTAAAGTGGTGCCTCAGGTTAAGAACAGTTTCAGGTTAAGAACGGACCTCCGGAATGAATTAAGTTCTTAACCCGAGGTACCACTGTATGTAAGAATGCAACCAGACCCCCAAACTGCTAAGAACCAGCTTAGGAGGAAACTAGTGATGACTGTTAAAGTAAAAACAAAAAACCCACACAACCCCAGATAAAGTACAGTGGTACCTCGGGTTACAGACGCTTCAGGTTACAGACTCCGCTAACCCAGAAATAGTGCTTCAGGTTAAGAAATTTGCTTCAGGATGAGAACAGAAATTGTGCAGTGGCGGCGCAGCGGCAGCAGGAGGCCCCATTAGCTAAAGTGGTACCTCAGGTTAAGAACAGTTTCAGGTTAAGAACGGACCTCCAGAACGAATTAAGTTCTTAACCCGAGGTACTATTTCTGGGTTAGCGGAGTCTGTAACCTGAAGCGTCTGTAACCCGAGGTACCACTGTAATAATATTAAACTACCCTGATTATTGTAGGAAAATGCATCTTAATCCAGCCTTTCCATTGAAATCTCTGGTGAAGTATAGTGGTACCTTGGGTTGCAGACACTTCAGGTTACAGACTCCGCCAACCCAGAAATAGTACCTTGGGTTAAGAACTTTGCTTCAGGATGAGAACAGAAATTGTGCTTCGGCGGCAGCGGGAGGCCCCATTAGCTAAAGTGGTGCCTCAGGTTAAGAACAGTTTCAGGTTAAGAACGGACCTCCGGAACGAATTAAGTTCTTAACCCGAGGTACCACTGTATTTAAGAATGCAACCAGACCCCCAAACTGCTAAGAACCAGCTTAGGAGGAAACTAGTGATGACTGTTAAAGTAAAAACAAAAAACCCACACAACCCCAGATAAAGTACAGTGGTACCCCGGGTTACAGACGCTTCAGGTTACAGACTCCGCTAACCCAGAAATAGTACTTCGGGTTAAGAACTTTGCTTCAGGATGAGAACAGAAATTGTGCAGTGGCGGCGCGGCGGCAGCAGGAGGCCCCATTAGCTAAAGTGGTGCCTCAGGTTAAGAACAGTTTCAGGTTAAGAACGGACCTCCAGAACGAATTAAGTTCTTAACCCGAGGTACCACTGTATCTGCAAGAGACGTTGCAGGAGCAGATTTGCAAAGGGTCGCTGGTACCCCTGACTTCTGTAATAAAATGCATCTTAAATGAGATATTCCTTTGAAATCTTCGGTGGCTGTGCTTGCTTGTATTAAGTATCTACAGGAAACGGTGGAAGGAACAGATTTGCAAAAGACGTTGGTACCCTGAATGGTAAGAAGATATTATTATTATTATTATTATTATTATTATTAATATGCAATTCTGCCCCCACTACCTTTCCTAGCGCACTTGCAAGGGCAACCTTTGTCCCCATCAGAGGTCTATGGAGCTTCTATGGAGCATCTTTGGAACTGCAGCGACATCTAGTGGCCAGACAAGGAAATTGCAGGAACACTATTATTTGTGTGGAGGGGGAATATCCCCAAGGAATACACGGGCACCCGCATCTTAATACCCTCCAGGTGTTTTGGACTACAACTCCCATCAGCCATAGCGGACCCAACGCGCCCCACACCCACTGCTCAGCAGGCAGCTACTTAGCCAGCCCCTCGGGTCCATTTTTTTTAAAAGGCTCCTATCTTTAAAAAGCTACATAAAGCGGCACCGCAACAGAAAGCGACAGCGCTGGGGTTCATTTAGGCCGGGCCTTGGCCTGCTTTTCAATCGCAAAGGGAGGGGAAACTTGGCACTTTCCAAGCAGGCAACCTCACTAGCCAGCCACAACAACGGCCGGGCGGGGTCCTCTCCGGTTGCTAGGCTACGCCGCGAAGGAACGCCCCTTAGCGCTTCAAGCTTCCTCACCTCGGAAAGCTTCGTCGGCGGTTGGCTCTGGAACCGCCCCTCTCTCCCAGCAGTGGGCGTGGTTTGCTTTCCCGAGCCGCGCCGAACACGTCGCCTCTGCCGGATTGGCCGGGCTCCTCTCGACGTCGGGGGGAGGGAGGGGCGTGGCCAAAAGGGGCGGAGCTTGCGAGGCGAAGATGGACCCGGTGCTTTACGTCTTGGCGGCGGCGCTGCTGGCGGCGCTTCTCGTCTTCGTCAGCCGCGTCAGGGGACAGGCGCGCGCGGGTAGGACGCGGGGGGGGGGGAGGCGAGTTCTCTACCTGGTCCGCAAGGGGGGGGCGGAATCTCCCACCTGCTTGGAAAGGGGGGGGGGAGGAAGGTTGTGGGAAAGAGAAGCCTATGGGGGGAGTCCTAATACGTATAATAATATATTATAATTGTATTATAGTATAGTATAGTGTAGTGTAGTGTAGTGTAGTGTAGTGTAGTGTAATGTAATATAATATAATATAATATAATATATAATATAATATAATATAATATAATATAATATAATATAATATAATATAATATAATACTTGACAACATTTTTAAGAGCTTTTTCCCCTTTGGGGTGGGTTTCTGAATAAGACTGCCTCTGAGCATGTGCCGAGTGCCTCTTCCTTTCCTCCCAATCTCTTTTTTTTTAAATGATATTTATTAAAATTTCAAAAGAAAAAGATTACATTAATAAGAAAATTAACAAGAAAAAGGAAAAATACAAAGTACAAAAAAGAAAAAACAGTTAAAAACAATTCCATCTTTTCATCACTTCTCTTACATTTACTTGTTTCCCGTCCTTTCCTCCCAATCTCATGGCTGATACCCATTCCCCAGCCCCAGAGGCTGCTTTTCGCTTCCTCGTGCAACCCAGTCAGATGGGTGGCTGCGTGTTGTTCTTATCAGTGCTTTTCTCTAAAAAAATATTTAGAGTTACTTTCATTTTCCTACTCATATTGAAACACTGCCGCTCAATGAGGCCAAACTTAGATCCACAAAATGTTTAGGGGGATGTGTACCCCTGCATCATCCCCCCAAACAAAAAAAAAGCGCTGATATTGTTACTATTATTGCTTCTGCTACTGAATGCGGTGTGCTGTATCAATAAGTTTTTTCCTGCATTTCTAGTCTCCTCTCTGCCAAGTTAGGGCCATCCTGTTAGGATGCAACAGATTGTAATGGATTGCTTTGAAGTCACTTCAGCGCCAGATTTTTTAAAAAATAAAATAAAATCGGTCACCACTCGCCCCGCCCTGTCCTGTATTTTGCCAGAACAAAAGGTGGCAACCCTGCACACAGAGTGCCTCACACAGGATGGAGTCGGCCCATTACATTATTATTATTATTTATTAAATTTGTATACCATCCATCATCTGAAGATCTCAGTGTGCTTCGCAACGTAAAATTACAAGATATAATGTAATTTTAAACAGTGGATATAATCACAGCTGCACGCCTTACTGTGCTTTAGCTGTGCTGGCAGTGCTCACCAGAAATTTAAAAAAAAAACCACTCTTATTAGATGCACACATGCATGCACTTTGGGTTCTGCTGTATTTGAGGGCACATCAATCAAGTGTTTAGAGCATCTGCCCCTGTTGCCCCGAAACGAGCCTTTTTAAGCAATTCCACCCTGAACCACAAAGAGGTGCACCAGACCCGGGCATCCGGTATTTGAACTCTGTGCCCCGTATAGATGGGGGGGGGGGACGACAGAGAAGCCAGAAATTATTTCTGGTCCTTTCTGCGGGAGTTACTGTACGTCTGACATCCCTTCTTCGTGGCACTTCACGGCAGATCATTAATGACGTCTCAGGCATCCACGTCAGCAGACTTGACATTTCGCAAGCCAAGGGGGGCTTAGTTGGGTATTTGAATCTGAGGCGTTGCAGGATGTTGTGCAGCAGGAGGGAAAAGATAACTGCACAATTGCACAACTCCATGCGTCTAGGACACTTCTGTGCATGTGTGCGCATGCGCGCGCGCACACACACCACTTTTACACTTGTGGGATATGTTGCATATAACTCTGGGGCAGGGGACAGAGCACAGGGCATTTTCTGAGTGCGGAAAACCCAATCCTTGACATCTCCAGGTTGGACCGGGGTTGCCCCTAGACTGCAGCTGCTAATAATAATAATAATAATAATAATAATTTTTATTTATAAACCACCATCCCCAGCCAAGACTGGGCTCAGGGCGGCTAACACCAAATATAAACAAAATTGATTGAAATACAGCTTTAAAAACAAGATTCAAATACAACATTAAAACATTAAAATGCAACCTCATTTCAGTGGAAACTCAATCAAAAACTTTTGGGGGGATAAAAAAACGTCAAGTCTTCACCAAGGCTAACTATCCAGACTGGTCCTACATGGGCCAGAAAAAAGCCAGGGATCAGTGTAGACAATACTAACCTAAATGTGCCAATTGGCTCATGGCAGCTTCCTGTGTTCCTGTGCCCCCTCCCGTTAACAAAGAGACCCTACCTTTGGAAACAAAAATAAGATAAGATATATATATCACACCCAAGCCACACAAAGTTCTTTGTTTCGGTTCAGCACTGAGGCCGAGAAAGAGTTCTGTGAAATTCAAAAGCTAGCTCACTGCTTTGTAGTTTTAGTTGGTCCTGTTGATTTATTTACAATCTGCCATCATCATTATTATTATTATTATTATTATTAAAATTTGTCTACCGCCCTTCATCCATAGATGTCAGGGCAGTTCCTAATGGGGTATCATGATAAGGTACCTGTTTTGATTTTTCCCCCCAACCCCCAGTAGCCAAAACTACTGCATGCATTTGTGTCCACTTCAGGCAAAGTTTTTCTGCACTGGAAAAGTACAAAAGTTAGCTGTATAGGAGAGAAAATCCTAGAGCTCAGGCGAGATTGCTTTCTGTCACCTAATGATGGGACTAAATTTCATCTCCCATTTTGCAATAAAAAAAAATTTCCGTCCTTCTGCTGTCTTCCTTTGAAGGGGCCTGTGGGTTCCAGTTAGTGCTGGAGTCAGATTCAAGTTACTGCTGCCTTTTTATTATTATTCTCAAAGGGATTGTGGCCATTGCTTCTTGGTCTCAGAATGCCTTGCTGCAACCTTTCAGGGCACAAGCTTTTATTGGTCTGCAGAATTCTTTCCTGACTCTCCACCTTTACACTCTTTGCATAGTGCAGGTAGGTCTTTTTTTTTTTTTTAATGATATTTATTAAAGTTTCACAAAGAAAAAAATCACATCAACAAAAAAGAAAAATTCAAGAATATAAAGAAAAGTACACAAACAAAATACAAAAATAAAAAAGAAAAACAGTTAAAAACAATTCCATCTTTTCATCACTACTTTTAGATTTACTTGTTTCCTGGACCTCCTCATACCTCCCTCTTTTGTATTCCAATTCAGTTTGTTTGTCCAGCAATTCCTTTCCCTCCTTTTTAATCCCAGTCCTTAATCTTAATATAATATAACATTAAATTTTTACCAATTAAAAACCAATTTTCCATTCTTTTAACCTTTTTAATCCTAATCCTTAATGTTAATCTATTTATAACTTTAAAGCCTATACAGCTAGAAGCCACTTAATTTCAATCCAAAATCACTCTAACATTCATTAATTTTGCAATATTTCTGTAAATAATCTTTAAATTTCTTCCAATCTTCTTCCACCGACTCTTCTCCCTGGTCACGGATTCTGCCAGTCATTTCTGCCAATTCCATGTAATCCATGGTCTTATACGATGTGTCTTGATGGTAGCATCTTCCCTCTCCCCTTTTTGTTTTAACATCAAGGCTGCAGGAGAGTTCAGTAAAACTCAAAAGCCAGTTCACTTGTGATTGGGGGGGGGGGGGTGCAGCGGCAAGCCAACGAAGTTGCTATGACGCTGTTCTTATTTGGATATTTCCGTGAAGCACATGCAAAATAAAATTTAAAAAATCATGTGGTCCTTTATCCACATCCTGGCAGTGTGTATCCGTGAAGGACTATTTTCTTAGATAAATAATTTCCACACAGAAGTTTCTGTAGTTTTGTGCGAGTGTTGGAAGTTCACTCTGGGGCTACCATTTTCATTCCATTTTAATATCCAATTCTAGCAAGTTTTTTTTACTATCAGTCCTTTTATAGTGTGCCCAACGGCCAACAAAGCTGAATATTAACTGAACAACAAATTGTAAAACATCAGAAGAAATAGGTAATAAAATTATGTGGGGTTTTTTACAGATAAAATGAATATGTAGCAACTGTACTCCTAATCCTATTATTATTATTATTATTATTATTATTATTATTATTATTATTATTTCAATACTGCCCTTCATCTGAAGATCACAGGGTGGTTTACAATATAAAAACACATACCATAGTAACAGACAAACAAAATACCCCCACCCACACATTTTAAAAGGCCATAGATTAGTTAATTAGCCATAGGCCTGGGAGAAGAGGAATGCTTTTGCCAGGCACCCAAAGATCCTGAGTGAAGGTATATAAGGCAAGCATTCCACAAACAGGGAGCCACTGCAATTAGATGAACTTTAGAAGTTGAATTTAAGTGCAGGCATAACAGGCGACATTTAGAATTACAGCTGTAGTCCCTAATATATGTGTATATACTGTATATTCTAAGCCCATAGCCCAGTTTGCTGTAGAAACCATTACTTTACTCAGATGAACTTTGTGTGGCTGATCATGCAGGGCACAAGGAAGAAGACATTTTCCACTTCCTCAGACCCACACAGTCATGGATGCGCTGCAACAGGGATTCCTGCCGCGCGTTTTGAAATAAGCAAAGTAATACATGTTGCTACCTAAAACAGCCTCCCGCCTCTCCCCTTAAGAACCTTAATTCAGGAGTCTAAAAATTACCTGATTAAAGCACTCCTTTATTTATTTATTTATTTATTTATTTATTATTGGTACTTCTCACAAGAGACGAGGCAGGCAAGACCCACCTTGTCTTCTGATGGGAGCGGTTCAAAGTGTCTTGTAAATATTACCCCAGCAAGTAGAGGCAAGATTCATCAAGGGAAGTAATAGTGCCACTGTATTCTGCTCTGGTCAGACCTCACCTGGAGTACTGTGTCCAGTTCTGGGCACCACAGTTCAAGAAGGACACTGACAAACTGGAACGTGTCCAGAGGAGGGCAACCAAAATGGTCAAAGGCCTGGAAACGATGCCTTATGAGGAACGGCTAAGGGAGCTGGGCATGTTTAGCCTGGAGAAGAGGAGGTTAAGGGGTGATATGATAGCCATGTTCAAATATATAAAAGGATGTCACATAGAGGAGGGAGAAAGGTTGTTTTCTGCTGCTCCAGAGAAGCGGACACGGAGCAATGGATCCAAACTACAAGAAAGAAGATTCCACCTAAACATTAGGAAGAACTTCCTGACAGTGAGAGCTGTTTGACAGTGGAATTTGCTGCCAAGGAGTGTGGTGGAGTCTCCTTCTTTGGAGGTCTTTAAGCAGAGGCTTGACAACCATATGTCAGGAGTGCTCTGATGGTGTTTCCTGCTTGGCAGGGGGTTGGACTCGATGGCCCTTGTGGTCTCTTCCAACTCTATGATTCTATGATCGTGCTGGTTCCATCAGTGCAAGGACTTTTGGCTGCATGCCAGAACTGTACCCCTTTTCTCCCTGTGTGTCCCCAAAATCTGTTTTTGGGGCTTCCCCAACAGATTCTGAGAGAGTGCAGAGTGCAACGGAGAAGCTTGGGGGTGGGTGGGGAGGGCTGCATAAATGGAAGTCCTTGTGCTCACAGAAAAAACACGCAGAATACCACTCCAGGTCTGAAAGCACTGTTGCAGTTTGCTCCTTGGAATATCCTGACTTTCTCCAATAGCATAAAACGCTGAGAAACCTCAGGGCGTATTTCTAAATTCCCGGCTTAACACGGGTGGCGCTGTGGGTTAAACCACAGAGCCTAGCACTTGCAGATTAGAAGGTCGGCGGTTCGAATCCCCGCAATGGGGTGAGCTCCCGTTGCTCGGTCCCTGCTCCTGCCAACCTAGCAGTTTGAAAGCACGTCAAAGTGCAAGTAGATAAATAGGTACCACTCAGGCGGGAAGGTAAACGGCGTTTCCATGCGCTGCTCTGGTCCGCCAGAAGCAGCTTAGTCATGCTGGCCACATGACCCGGAAGCTGTACGCCGGCTCCCTCGGCCAATAAAGTGAGATGAGCGCCGCAACCCCAGAGTCGGCCACGACTGGACCTAATGCTCAGGGGTCCCTTTACCTTTACTGAATACTTAACATGTCGGCTCTGCCATTGGTTTTCCTGTTTGTAGAGTTGCAGCTAGCAGGGGAAATCAGATTTTCAGATGCATCGCCGTCTCGATCTCTGCTGAGCAGTGCTTTCTGGGGCATTTGGGTTGTAATCCTATACAGCAGAAGAGATGAACCTGTTTACCCCCTGCCCCGTGAGGTTCTTGGACTCCCAACTCCCATCAGCCCCAGCCAGCAAGGCCAATGGCCTTGATGACGTTGGATGCAGTCGTTCCACAACATCTGGCCACAGGATTCCCCACCCCTGCTAACCTCAGTCGCCTGAACTCAATGGGACTTGCTTCTAAGTAGACATGCATAGGATTGAGCTGTGTGTCCTGTGGGTGGTGCCATTGAGCCATGAGTTCAGTACGCATTTAACTCCATGCTTAGGGTGCGCCGTTACATTCTTTTCAAAAGCATTTTGCGCACAAATTCCTTAGTAATAGTACTGAAGCAAAAGACTCGGTTCTGAATAAGCTAGCTGTGGTGGAGACACAGTCAAAGATGTTCCCTTTCTCTAGGTGATGAGGAGCACCAGCAGAATGTGGCGGCCGTTGTTGCAGCTGGCAGGCCTCAACCCCACACCAGCGAGCGGGGAGAGGGGATGCCCCGACGTCGGAGGAACCTGGGGAACAGGGTGCTGGTTCAGAGACGCTCGCAGCAGGCAGAGGATGCGGCAGAAGGTAACCGATGCAAACAGCTTCTCCTTGTCAGATTAGTTTTTGGCTATTCGAAGAGTCTGTTCAACCCTTCTCGTCCAGCATCCCATCTCCATCCACAGTGGCCAACTAGGACCCATGTGCTCGCTTCACAAATGTCTGTTTATAGCATCTACACTCCACCTTTTGAGGATCCAAGACAATGCACCACGGCGGTTAAAAAATGTACAGTGATCCAGTTTGGACGCTAATGCCAAGTCAAATCGTGACCAAATGCGAACAAGCAAAGGTCAGGGTACTCAGAGCAGAAATGGCAGCCGCTTCGCTCTTTCCTTTCTGTTGCCATTCTGCTGAGAGTAAAGCCATGGTTTGGCTTAGCATGAACATCCGAATGCAGGCTTGCGGTTTGCATGAACCCAAGTTTGGACATAACACTAAGACCAAACCACGGCTCAGCTTTGGGTAGCGTGGCAGCGCTGCGATTTCCACCCTTGCGTCTCCACATGCTTGGTTGTTCACGCTAAACCATGGTTTGGTTTAACATTACGTGCTCACTGTTTTACTATGCGGCCTAGGACCCATGTACCTACAGGACCGCCTCTCCTGGTATGCCCCGCGGAGGACCTTAAGGTCCACAAATGACAACATTTTGGAGGTCCCAAGTTGCACGGTGGTTTGATTGGTCTCAACTAGGGCCAGGGCCTTTTTAGTAGTGGCCCCAACTTGGTGGAACGCTGTGTCACAAGAGACCAGGGCCCTGCGGGACTTGACATCTTTCCGCAGGGCCTGCAAGACAGAGCTGTTCCGCCTGGCCTTTGGTTTGGACCCAGTCTGACCCTTATGTTTCCCTCCCCTTATGGTCTTGATTTATCAGCTGCTTTTACAGTGAGGCTACATTTTAAATTGCATTTTAACCTGTATTTTAAATTGGTTGGTTTTTGTGTGTATGTGTTTTCCTATTACGTTTTTATTGTAATTTTACTGGTGTTAGCTGCCCTGAGCCCGGCTCTGGCCGGGGAGGGCGGGGTATAAATAAAATTTATTATTATTATTATTATTACTACTACTACTACTACTATGCCAGTAAAATTGCAAACAATTATTACAAAATCTATTATTGTTGTTATTATTATTACTATTATGCCAGTAAAATTGTAAACAGCACTAAATCTGGAATACAAAAGCAGCTGAGCCAGCTGACAAATATCAGTATTCTAGGAATATCACCTCCAGATTCATGATAGATCATCTAAAAACAGGCAGCTTTCACATAGCACTGGGGCCATTTTCTGGTTTGGCCACAACTGTGTAGCAGGCGATAATCTATGCCGGAGTTTGAATGTGGGATAGGAAATGGATCTTGCAGTTCTCCCCAGGCCACATGCCTCGGCCACACCCTCTTCCCCAGGCCACGCTCCCTCACCTGCTTTGCCTCACATCCTCCTTGGGTGTTTTTGCCTGGCTGGAAAGTGCCCTTGAGCTCTGGCCATGCTTCTTGTTTCTCTGGGTGGAAGATAGAGAGGGTGCATGGGAAAGTGTGTTCAAAATAGCCTACCGTAGAAAGGTACATTTTAAATTATTATTATTTATTATTTATACCCCGCCCATCTGGCTGGGTTTCCCCAGCCACTCTGGGCGGCTTCCAACAGAACACTAAAATACAATAACCTATTAAACATTAAAAGCTTCCCTAAACAAGGCTTCCTTCAGATGTCTTCTAAAAGTTTGGTAATTATTTTTCTCTTTGACATCTGGTGGGAGGGCATTCCACAGGGCGGGCACCACTACCAAGAAGGCCCTCTGCCTGGTTCCCTGTAACTTGGCTTCTCGTAGTGAGGGAACCGCCAGAAGGCCCTCGGAGCTGGACCTCAGCATCCGGGCAGAACGATGGAGGTGGAGACGCTCCTTCAGGTATACTGGACCAAGGCTGTTCAGGGCTTTAAAAGCACATATTCCTTCCTTCACCCTGCCATGTGGCCCCCGGAATGTTCCTCCAATGGAATTGCGGCCCTCGGGCTGGAAAAACAGATTTCCCTGCTCCAGAGATGGGAGATGGTGGCTCCCAGCATATACATAGAGTCAGTAAGAGAAGTTCCTAGGGGAGGGAGTCATGGGTTAATGTAGATCAGGAGCCATTGGTTATGTTGATAACTCCACACTGAGAAGTCCTTGCCACTGCAGCCAGCTTGCCACGCGGCCTGGAACAGTTCTGTTGGTGGGAACTTGCACAACCGCTGGAATGGAAGGTGCTTTCTTTGCTGCGAAATTGGTAGCACATAAAAAGCGTGCAAGCTTGCCTTCCCTCTTTGAAAGGGGACTGTGCTTTCCCACTTTGAAAGTGGCAGAGCCTCGTCTTTGATCTGCACGATCCGTTCGCCTGCTGAATTCACGATTGCGTTTTAGCGGCGCACAGATGGCAAATTGACAGCTCTGAACTTTTCAACTTGGGGTGGAACTCTTTGAAGTGCGAAGGCATTTCAAAAAGAGTGAAATAAGAAAAAAGCGCTTTTGATGTTTTCAGGCCAGGCTGCTTATAATTTCTGTCAAATTACCAAACCCATTGAAGTAATCTCGGAGGCACGGCGCTGCTTGTGTTGAATCTTTCAGTTCAGCGAAGGAGTTCACCACTGGGGATTGAGTCGAGGCTGCATTAGGCTTGAGTCACTTGCCCGCTGACCAGGCCAATGCCATAAGTTGGCTCCCTGCTTTTTGACCATGGCTGCTCGATATTGTCAGACACGTCGCAAAGTAAAAAATATTTTGACCTAGTTCATAAGGAACAGTTGTTTAGGGAAGTTTTTAACGTTTGAAGTTTTAGTCTGTCTTTAGTGTTCTGTTGGGAGCCGTCCAGAGTGGCTGAGGAAACACAGCCAGATGGGCGGGGTATAAATAATAAAATTATTATTATTATTATTATGCACGTATGGGGAACCTGTGTCTCTCCTGATATTTTTGGAGTGCAGGTTCCATCATCCTTGGTCACTGACCATGCCTGCTGAGGCTGATGGGAGTTTGAATCCACAACATCTGGAAGTTCACTTCCCCACCTGTAGCTACATAATTTAGCTTTGGGCTTGTAGGCTCCTCCCTTGCGGTTGCAACAAGGAGACTGGAAGCTTCCCACCACCCCGTCCCCTGGCAGCAGCTTGTCAGACTTTGAACCTTGCATAAACCATGGTTTACATATGGATAAACCATGGTTAAATCTAACTTCAGATCCTGGTTCGGATGTAGCAAACGTTGGTTAGTTGAAAACGGAAGCAGGCGCTTCCATCCTCCTCCTCGCAGCTGTTCTGTGGGAGGAGAGAAGACAGAGAAGGCTTGTGGATGTTAAACCACAGTTTAGTGTTACACCAAAATCTCATTTGGGAATAAGTGGCAGCCTAACTTTCTGATTGTGTTGTGGGGTCATCTGATGAGAGTGGCAACAGTAAGGGTGAGAGTCCCTCATACACGGACCCTGCAAGAGTCAGGATCACACTTGAATACACCCTTCGTTCAGGAGCAAATACACACACCCCAACACACACACAGTTAAGCCACACATCGCCTTAAGGTCTCCTTTGGCCTTGTGTTGCAAATGCCAGAATCTCTGAACAGAAACAAGAACACAGAACCAGTCGTCGCAACAGGGCAGGTTTCCTATAGTGATGCAGGCTTATTTCAGAACTGGGGGTTCAGAATATGAACCCCTCTAGTTTGGGAAGCTGCAACCTGTTATGAACCGGGTTCAGACTCCTCCCAATGCAGCCAGCCTTCTTTTCCAGGTCTCCCACTCCACAACCAGCTCACAACTGATAAGGAGTAAAGTGTTATTAGTTAAGCCTTGCTGCCCTCTTCCCAATTCCCAAGTATGTTCAAGAGTTATCGTTTCTTGGAGTCCTGAATCTTTGCCTCCTGATTCAGGTCATTCTCTCTGTCCATCATCTGATTAGGGTTGGGTGATACATCAATATCCAAAACCAGTTTGAAGTCCATATTGTGATAGGAGTTTCATAATTTCTGACTCTGCAATATATCGCATATCATGATGTGCGTGTGTGCACTATGAAGAAATCATGCCATATTGGTATTTTTTGCAATGTTTACCTGGTGATACATCATGATGTCAAAAACCAGGTATCGCCCAGCCCTAACGCCAATATTTTTTGTGTTAAGATAGATTCCCCTCCAACCCATTCAAAGGTTCTCTAAGGAGCCGGCAATAAATATTCAGCGAAACAGATGAACAATTTATAACTACCCTATATAAATAGCCTAAAATCAGAATCTTTCGCGCATGAATAGCATCACGTCCCAGCCCCCAGGAAAGACTTAAGAAGTTTCCTGAAAGACAGGTAGGAACCAGCCAAGTTGGCCCCCTGTTGTGCGATCCCTTTGATAATGGGCTCTCTCTCGTTACTTTTTCATTTTCTCTTCTTAATCATTTAATATCCTTATGCAGAGGAGAACGATGGAGCCGAAGCAGCTGAATCCCAGTTTTCTGGGAAGGTTGGAGCAAAGAAACAGCGGAAGCTAGAGGAGAAGCAAGCCAGGAAGGCTCAACGGGAGGTGAGTGTTCTCCAGAGTTTGCAAAGTAGGGATAAGGAACTTCAGGCTTGCTTGCAGGCCAATCGCAGCCCTGCAGGATTCCCCCTTCATGGACCTGGTTTGCATGACTCCCTCCAAGGCATACACCTCACAAGCCTTTATTTGTACCCGAACCGCTTTTGCGTGGCTGGAATGTGATACTTGTCTGGATGGGGGATAGAGAGAGGTTTGTGAGTGTATTTCGTTTCATTCCACTATCATTATTATTATTATTATTAATATTATTATTATTATTAAATAAATATTTTATTTGATTTCCCAAAATATAAACGTACAACACAAAACAGTACAAAATCCAAATATCGATATTGCTCTGAATCTCCTGACTTCCCCCCAAACCTTCCATGGGTCCTATTGATTCTATTTTCAACTGCATATCAGTACTTCTCCAATTTTTCATCTTCCTAGATTATCTATCTGTTCTGTTGCATTACAAGTGTATTTAAAATCCTCCTAAGGTTTTGACCTGTTTACAATGATTTTGTATATACATTATAAACATTTCCCATTCTTTTTAAAATTTCTTGTCTTCTTGATTCCTCAGCTTCCCATTTAATTTTGCCATTTTGGCATAGTCCATCAACTTCATTTGCCATTCCACTCTGGTCAGGGTTGTCTCTTCCTTCCATCTCAGAGCTAGTAATTTCTTCTTCTTCTTCTTCTTCTTCTTCTTCTTCTTCTTCTTCTTCTTCTTCTTCTTCTTCTTCTTCTATACTGCCCATCTGATTGGGCTGCCCCAGCCACTCTGGGCATTTTCCAGCAGAATATGAAAGAACCACGAAACATTAAACATGGAAAACTTGCCCATACAGGGCTGCCTTCAGATGCATATATTTCTATGCTGCTTTAAAATAAGCACAACCACAGCAAAAGTCGTACTATAAGACTTGCAAAGCATCACAGCACAAATAACCCATGAAACAATGTTTGCAACATTAGCAAACTAGCAACCAAAAACGAACGGAGCACTGGTGAATTCACATGCTCTCTCTCCCCACCTCCATGACTCATAGTCTTCCGCTCGGTTCATAAAAGACACAGAGACGTAAGGCCCATGGCAGCAACTCTGTTCTGAAGGCAAGGCGGGTGGGAAAAGCCCTTGTCTGATGGTCAGCACCATGTCTCATTTCCCCTGGAAATGAAAGGAAATGAGTGTGTGCAGAAATTAGCCCATGTTACAAAGGTAAAAAAACTGCCCTTGGGCCAGCAACAGTCTTTCAGCCTCGCCTGCCTTGTTGTGAGGATAAAGTGGGGAGGAAGAGAACCATGTGCACCAATTTTGAGCTCCTTGGAAGAAAGGTGGGATATAAATCCAAAAAATAAAATTAAATAAACAAAGGGGGGCAGAGGTACTTTGCCAAGGGGACGGGGCCACAACTGAGAAGGCCCCGGGTGGGCCAAAACCTAGGCAGCACAAAGAGGTGGCTCCACTAAGAGGGCTTTCTGATTACAAGAACCAACCGGGAAGGTTGATATGGGTGGAGATGATCTTCTGGTCAAGGTTGGAGAAGCAGGGGCTGGGCGTGGACCCCCAGACCTTCTTGCCTGGCCCTTCAAAGCCACACACATCACAAGCCCTGCTCGTCTCGCCAAGTGGTTTTGCCGGCCTGGAATGTGTCCTTGGACTCTGGCCGTGTCTCTGGCTGGGATGGAGGCTGTTTGAGTGTGCCTACAGACCAGCCTTCTGCACAAAGGTCACATTTACGTTTGTGGCTCCGCCTCCTTTTGCCTCTGGTTCCGCCCACCGATGGAATGCGGCCCTTGGGAGGTTACTCAGAAGGGAATCTGGCCCCTGGACTGAGAAAGGTTCCCTCCCCACTCCTGTCTGATGTACTTGGGTCACATGCCCTACATACATGTGTGTGTACGTGTGTTAGGTGGTTAGGTAGCAGGTAGGTGGACTTAGCTTGCAAACTTGCCAGAGAATAACACTCGCTTTTTTCTCCCTGCTCCCCAATTTCCAAAGGCCGAAGATGCGGAACGGGAGGAACGGAAGAAGCTTGAGCAGAAGCGAGAGGAGGAGCGGCGCAAAGAGGACGAGCGACTGCGCCTGGAGGAGGAAAAGCAGGTAGGGGCAAAAGGATTGGGATTTGAGATGGGTGTGCTGTGAATTCAGAAACGTCCCATGTGGGGACCTGGTGCAAAGACATCAGATAATAAACCACCAGAGAGGAGGCTGCTTGGGACACCAGGAGCTTTCCGGAGAAAAGGCAAAAATATAAATATACAATTCATCTTACACAGGGGTTCAGTTCAAAGGGTTCCATGTATCCATGGAAATTGCGTAGTCTCAAACCCTTGGCTAGCGAGCGAAGGGGAGAGAGAAAGAATGCCCCGCACTGCTGGTGCAAAGCTTTTGAGGTCTCTGCCTTGCTTGTGGGGTGATCGATGGGGAGACCCACTCAGCATGCCGGCTCTTGAAGGCCGGGGATGCTCACACAAGATCTCTTGAGAATTCAGATGGCCTTGCGAGAGCATCCTAGAGCCAGCGGGCTGAACCTTTAAGTTTTTTCCCTAGCTTGGATTTAACTTGTGCACTTTCAGCCAGCTTGTGCTGGGCCCGGGGGTTAATCCGAGCAACGCAGTCCAGGTGCGGTCCCAAATCCAAGGGTTCCGCGAGGCAGGAAACCAGGCAAGGACAAGTACAGGATCTCAGGCAGATCTCCATACAGCAATATTGCTCCCGCAACCTGGGGCGGGGTCCGACAGCCTTTTATCTTTGTTGGGGTAACGGCCGGTCCTGATCCCCCGGTGACTCACATCCCTGTCTCACCCAAAGGTGAGGACTCCTCCTGAGAGTAATCAAGTCTCTCCTGCTCTCAGACCTCAGTCTCTGCAGCTTGGGAGACGTCGGTGGGTTACTAGACCCAGGGGCTGCCTCAGCCTCCCCTGACCCAACTGGTAGTGGAGCAGCTGTAAGTGATGGCCCAGCTGAAGGCAACGAGGTCATCCCCGCATCTGGAGCCAGGGCAGGCTCAGGCCCCTGACTCGGCTCAGCTGGTGTTTGTTGCAGGGGAACCTGTGCAGACTGGGACTCTTCAGGATCAAGCCCCAGACTTGGTTCAGATGATGCCTGAGGCAAAGGATCCGGTACAGACAGAGACTCCTCTGGTTCCGAGCCAGCGTCCCAGGCCATCACACAGCTTTCAGCTGCGCATGGTTGAAATCACACACCTAAGATGTGATTGTACTGCGATATGTGTCATAATTTTAATTGGTGATTGTCTCCAACTTGGACAGCTTTGAAAGAGGATTGGACAAATGATCATGGTGATGATGTGTCGCCCTTCATCATAAGATTTCAGGGCAGCTCACAAGATAAAAATACTAGGTAAAAGCACAAATAAATAGTTAAACAGAAACAACAAAACTTTACCCCCTCCCACAAACACATTTAAGAGGCAGTAGAATATTAATCAACCCAAGGCCTGGTTAAAGAGGAATGCTTTCGCCTGGCACCAGAAGATATGTAATGAAGGTGCCAGGCAAGCCCCCCTGGGGAGAGCATCCCACAAACGGGGAGCCACTGCAGTAAAGGCCCCGTTCTCGTGTTGCCACCCTCCTGACCTCTCGCGGAGGAGGCACATGGAGAAGGGACTCAGAGGATGAATGCAGAGTCTGGGTCGGATGCTAGCTACTAGTTCCAATGGCTGTGCTCTGGTGGGAATCACAAGTGGAAGACGCAGAAGCACGGAGAGTTCTGTTGCACCCGGGTCCTGTTTGTGGGCCTTCCCGCAGGGATCTGGCTGTCGATCGTAAGACCAAGAGGTTGGACTACATAGGCCCGCTTTGTCCTGATCCAGGTTCCAGTCGCTTCTTCAAAAACTTTGTGTGCTTACAGCCAGGCCGGCACTTCATAAGTTGGGAGACACTAAAAAAGGGTTGCTGTTGTTGCTGTTGTTCTTTGTGCAACACCTTAAGTTTTTTTTAGGTGCTTGGTTGAAAAGCGACGCGCAGGCTCACATTCTTAATAGAAATGACGCACAAGATAAAAGGGATCAGGGGGAGAGAGAGCGAGAACGCAGGAGCATATTCAGGGCACCGTTTCTTCATCAAGTTATATAAATGCATGCAGTTACGGAGGTTTCGTAATACCCTCAAAATGCTTCGCTCTGCAGCCCTGCAAAAGAAAATCCTTCTTACTCTCACATTTCAAATGGGGGCAGGGGGAGGCTGAGAAAGAGTGGGTTGTGTGAAATCGTCTGGCGGGTTTATGAGCGAGGTGCGATTGTATTAGGCACTTCCTGCTCTCAGCTCAATCTTTGCCTCTATGCCGCAAGACACCTTAAATTTCATCTGTGGGTGTCTGTACACCCACCCACATATATATTATACAGTTGTACCTTGGATCCCGAACGCCCTGGAACGTTTTGGCTCCTGAGTGACGCAAACCCGGAAGTGGTTGTTCCGGTTAGCGAACGTTCTTTTGGAACCCGAACGTCCGACAAGGCTTCCGCGGCTTCTGATTGGCTCCAGGAGCTTCCTGCATCAGAAGCCGCGATTTGGTTTTCAAACGTTTTGGAAGTCGAACGGACTTCTGGAACGGATTCCGTTCGATTTCCAAGGTTCGGCTGTATATATTTATACATACGTACACACACACTCAGAGAGAGAGAGAAAATGAGAGAATTGCATAGACGTTGACTAATGCCAAGCAGTATTGCATGGGAAATTTGGGCGCTTAAGGCTTGCACAAAACTGAGAAACACACACACACAGGAGTAAGACCTTTGGTCTAGTTAGTATTGTCTGCACGGACTGGCAGCAGCTCTCCAGGGTTTCAGGTAAGGGTCTTCCAGCCCCACCTTCAGACGCTGGGGGTTGATCTTGGGACCTTCTGCAGGCCTACGGATTCTTTGCCACTGAGCTACAGACTTCCCCCCTACACCCCTTGTTCTTCATGTCCCACACGGGCAGGCAGCCTTCCCCTTAGTCTCTCAACTCCCACCCCCAGCGAGACAGCAGCTGCAGCACCAGCCATATTTCATGGATTCAGTATATTTTGTTGTTGTTGTTGTTGTTGTTTAGTCATTTAGTCGTGTCCGACTCTTCGTGACCCCATGGACCAAAGCACGACAGGCACTCCTGTCTTCCACTGCCTCCCGCAGTTTGGTCAAACTCATGTTCGTAGCTTCGAGAACACTGTCCCACCATCTCATCCTGTGTCGTCCCCTTCTCCTTGTGCTCTCCATCTTTCCCAACATCAGGGTCTTTTCCAGGGAGTCTTCTCTTCTCATGAGTTAGCCAAAGTCTTGGAGCCTCAGCTTCAGGATCTGTCCTTCCAGTGAGCACTCAGGGCTGATTTCCTTCAGAATGGATCAGTTTGTCATCGCTTTTCACCCAAGAAGCAGGCGTCTTTTAATTTTGTGGCTGCTGTCACTATCTGCAGTGATCATGGAGCCCAAGAAAGTAAAATCTCTCACTGCCTCCATTTCTTCCCCTTATATTTGCCAGGAGGTGATGGGCCCAGTGGCCATGATCTTCGTTTTTTGGATGTTGCGCTTCAGACCATATTTTGAGCTCTCCTCTTTCACCCTCAATAAAAGGTTCTTTAATTCCTCCTCACTTTCTGCCATCAAGGTTGTGTCATCTTACAGGACAGCATAGTGTGTGCAAGAGGGTGCCCGCGGTGCAAGTGTACACAAACGCATGGGATCGGGCAGACGGCTCTTCAAAGCCAGTGGTGGCCAAGCTGACACTTGCCCGATGTTGTTAGATTACAACTCCCATCATCCCTGACCTCTGCCCAATCTGGGTGGGACTGGTGGTTGTTCCTGCTGACTTCTTGCGCTCTCTAAGCCCAGTGCTGTCTGTTGGTGAAGCAGTACAGTGGTGCCTCGCAAGACGAAATTAATCCGTTCCGCGAGTCTCTTCGTCTTGCGGTTTTTTCATCTTGCGAAGCACGGCTATTAGCGGCTTAGCGGCTTTTAACGGCTTAGCGGCTATTAGCGGCTTAGCGGCTATTAACGGCTTAGCGGCTATTAACGGCTGAGCGGCTTAGCGGCTATTAACGGCTTAGCAGCTTTAAGAAAAAGGAAACAAACTCGCAAGACGTTTCGTCTTGCGAAGCAAGCCCATAGGGAAATTCGTCTTGCGGAACGACTCAAAAAACGGAAAACTCTTTCGTCTAGCGAGTTTTTCGTCTTGCGAGGCATTCGTCTTGCGGGGCACCACTGTAATAGAAATGATCCAAATAAATAAAGATTGCGTCAGCCTGGGACATTCTGCGAGCAAAACCCGCTATTTACCGCTAAGCTGGCGACTTAACGGATAAGTCAGCGGGGTGCAAATCGCCTAAGGAATGGAGAGATAACGCGATCTGTTTGCAACTGGTAATAAGGTGCAGAAAACTTCCATGCGGAAAACCGGTTTGCTTTGCCTGAGTTTCCACGGGAGATCGCAGGAATCGCTTGCTTCAAACTGAGCTTTGCATTGCTTATTCTCAGACTATTTTCTTAACTTCCTCAAAGCAGGGGGGAAATCCCCTCTTACCAAGCAAAACTAAAGCATTTCCAGGTTCTTCTTTCTTTGTTCACGTTTGCAAAAGCCTTTAACAAACAGTTGTCTGTTTGCAATGCAAAATTTAGATTCCTTGCTGATTCCAAAGTAGAGAAGGGAGAGGCTAGCCAATAGAAGTGTCAAAGGGAAGTTTTGGTTTTCATACGTTGGTTGAGCTTGCTTAACCGTTCGAAACTTGTTTCTTGCTTTAAAAATAAATAAATCAGGCCAGTGGTTCCCAAACTTCACTCTCCGCTCCCCGCCACAAACCACCTGAAAAGAGTCGAAGGCCTTGGCCGACTACTTAATGATTTTCCCGCCTGTTGTAGCAATTTTAATGCCCTGTTTTTAACTGCAAATTTATTGCTTCTTCTTTTATTCCTCTATGTTGTGTTTTATCGTATGGCAATTTGAATTCCATTGAAACATAGTGGTTCTGGGTAAAGGAAAGTATCGTGTGGGAGGTGGGGGTCTCCATTGGGGAGAGGAATTGGGGTCATCCTATCTGCCTGTCCTCCGATCTACGACTGCCTCTTATGAACACCAGGTCGGTCTTGAATAAGACCTCCCTTATCCATAATTTGATTGTGGATGTGGAGGCTGCCCTGGTCTGTATTACTGAGGCCTGGGTGGGTGAGCAGGGAAGAATTGGTCTCACCCAACTATGCCCAACTGGGTGCTCTGTCCAGCATCAGAACAGACTTGAGGGTGGCGAACAAGGAGTTTTTGTGATCCACAGAAATCCTCTCTCTCTGTCTCTGTCTCTCTCTCCAGGATTCCTGTCCACTTCCTGTTGCATTTGGCATAGGGTAATTGGGACAGATTAGGGATTCTGCTGGTTTGCCGCCTGCCCCTCTGCCCGGCAGTCTCCCTGCCTGAGCTGACAGAGATGGTGTTGAGGACTCCCAGTGTTGGTTCTTAGGGGCTTCAATGTCCATCCCAAGATGGTGGTCCCAACATGTCATTGGCCTGACTCATGTGGCAGGCCACACTCTGGATCTCGAGATTATTCAGAAGATAATCTGAAAGTGGGAGGTGGGGTGGGGGTTGCATCAGTCACTTGTCATAGTTGGATCACTTCCTGGTGAGATTTAGGCGTTCAGATCGGCCTAGGACCCACGTACCTACGGGACCGCCTCTCCCAATATGCCCTGAAGAGAACCTTAAGGTCCACAAATGACAACACTTTGGAGGTCCCAAGCCGCAAGGTGGTTTGATTGGTTTCAACTAAGGCCAGGGCCTTTTCAGTACTGGCCCCGACTTGGTGGAACGCTCTGTCACAAGAGACTAGGGCCCTGCGGGACTTGACATCTTTCCACAGGGCCTGCAAGACAGAGCTGTTCCACCAGGCCTTTGGTTTGGACTCAGTCTGACCCTTATGTTTCCCTCCGCTTATGGTTTTGATCTATGGGCTACTTTTAAAATAAGGCTGCATTTTAAATTGCGTTTTGACCTGTATTTTAAATTGGGGTTTTTTTCCCTATTATGTTTTTGCTGTAATTTTACTGGTGTTAGCTGCCCTGAGCCCGGCTCTGGCCAGGGAGGGCAGGGTATAAATAAAATTTATTATTATTTATTATTATATGGCCCACCCTCAGAGGTTGATGGATCCAGCTGAGTTACAGGCAGCTTGGGCTACTGATACAATCACCCCAAGTGTCCTCTCCTGCTTCATAGGGCCCACTTGGGTAAAGGTAAAGGACCCCTGGACGTTTAAGTCCAGTCAAAGGCGACTGGGGTTGCGGCGCTCATCTTGCTTTCAGGCCAAGGGAGCCAGCATTTGTCCACAGACAGCTTTCCGGGTCATGCAGCCAGCATGACTAAATCACTTCTGGTGCAACGGAACACCGTGACAGAAACCAGAGCACACAGAAACGTCGTTTACCTTCCCACCCCAGAGGTACCTATTTATCTACTTGCACGGGTGTGCTTTTGAAATGCTAGGTTGTTAGGAGCTGGGACAGAGCAACGGGAGCTCACTCCGTTGTGGGGATTTGAACCGCCGACCTTCTGATCGCCAAGCCCAAGAAGCTAAGTGGTTTAGACCACAGCGCTATAGCATATACCGGAGCTCAGGGCAATGAAACAAGCCGGGAGACAGCTTGGACGCAATTGCAGAAAAACTAGACAAATGCAGTCAAACGCTGGGTCTCAATATCGCGCCTACTCCGTGGCAGCGAAGGCAATGCAACAAAGAAATGCCACTTAGCAGAAATTTTCTGGGTGGCGTGGGCCCTTTTGCCCACAGTTATCAACGGGGGCTTGCTGTGACTTCTTTGCAAAGCATTTTAGAGATTAAATCACTTGGCTCCACCAAGACCTTGAGTCTACTGTTGCGGCAGATGAATCTCAAGAGGCGTCCATAGTTCTGCCTAGTTCTGTTGTGTCGATTAAGTTTCAGTTAGCATGGCTCAAGGGCATGAACAGGAGGGCATGGTTCGGACTGGGCAGCAATCTGTGCCCTCTGCCCTCGTGGCTGATAAAACCTAGCCGGGAGTAATTATTTTGCATTCATTTTCTAGCCTGGGCTTCTGTTATTCTTGCATTTTCTTGGTCAGGCTATTAGAGGGGAAGGGGAGCACTGATTTTGAGCATTCATGCACACTCTCACGCAGTCTTTTCCACAAGTCTTTTCTGGCATTTGAAAAAACCAAAATGTATATTTTTAAATTGCTTTGTTTCCTCTCAAAATCCCCAGCAGCCCCGATAGATGCTTCCACCCCACAGCCGCCCGTTGCTTCAGCATGCAGCAGCCCTGGGAATTTCCCTTTCGCCCGTGGAGTTTTCTTGTTGGAGGAAATGGTTTACCACAGACACCTGATCAGCGAGAGCAAATATCTCACGTTGCAGAGCTTCAGCTCCTTGCGACGTGCTGCTGCCGAAAAGCCTCCCTTGTGTTATACACACTCCCCGGGTTTTGTTTTTTTACATGCAAACCCAATTTTATATCAATAACATTTGAATGCAGCTTATTGGTTTGAAAGGAGAATAAAGGCTCTTAACAAATTATGCAGGCATCCCCTCCATATACTGGCCTGGCTCTTCTGTTTTAATTGCCACCTACATTTAAACCACAGAGCCCAGGGCTTGCTGATCAGAAGGCTGGCGGTTCGAATCCCCGCGAAGGGGTGAGCTCCTGTTGCTCGGTCCCTGCTCCTGCCCACCTAGCAGTTCAAAAGCCTGAAAAAGTGCAAGTAGATAAATAGGTACCACTCTGGCGGGAAGGTGAATGGTGTTTCTGTGCGCTGCTCTGGTTCGCCAGAAGTGGCTTAGTCATGTTGGCCACATGACTCGGAAGCTGTACACCAGCTCCCTCGGCCAATAAAGCGAGATGAGCATCACAACCCCAGATTCGTCTGCAACTGGACTTAACGGTCAGGGATCCCTTTACCTTTACATTTAATTGCAGGGATGGGAAACTTGCTGTGGCCCTAAGGTAGTGTTAGAAGCCAACTCCCATCAGCGCCAGCCAGCATGGCCAATGGATCTCGTCAGGGATGGTGGGTGTCGGAGTATGGAAGCAACTGCAGTGCCGCAAGTTCTCCATCTTTTGTCTGTTGCAGTGGGATTCACTGTATGTTTTAATTGCGGGTGCTTAAATGTTTGTGTAACTGGTTTTTACAGCTTGCAATCTGTTTAGAAACCTGTTTTGGCATGTTAAGCAGTATGTTGTCCACAAATGACAACATTTTGGAGGTCCCAGGTCGCAAGGAGGTTAGATTGGTCTCAACTAGGGCCAGGGCCTTTTCAGTACTGGCCCCGACTTGGTGGAACGCTCTGTCCCAAGAGACCAGGGCCCTGCGGGACTTGACATCTTTCCGCAGGGCCTGCAAGACAGAACTGTTCCACCTGGCCTTTGGTTTGGACTCAGTCTGACCCTTATGTTTCCCTCCCCTTATGGTTTTGATCTGTGGGCTATTATTAAAATGAGGCTGCATTTTAAATTGCATTTTAACCTGTATTTTAAATTGGTTTTTTCCCCCCTATTATGTTTTTACTGTAATTTTACTGGTGTTAGCCGCCCTGAGCCCAGCTCTGGCCGGGGAGGGCGGGGTATAAATAAAATTTATTATTATTATTATTATTATTATTATTATTATTATTATTATTAAATAATTTTCTCATGTTCCCCCACGAAGAGGGAAACCAGGCCTTATGAGGAACAGTTGAGGGAGTTGGGTCTGTTTAGCCTGGAAAAGAGGAGACTGAGAGGAGATATGATAGCCATCTTCAAATATCTCAGGGGCTGTCAAATGGAAGAGGGAACAAGCTTGTTTTCTGCTGCTCTGGAGGAGTAGGGCTCGAACCAATGGCTGAAATCACAAGAAAGGAGATTCCCACTAAATATCAGATAGAACTTTCTGATGGTAAGAGCTGTTTGACAGTGGAAGGGACGTGGTGGACTCGCCTTCATGGGGGGCTTCTAAGATGAGGTTCGATGGCCATCTGTCATGGATGTTTTAGCTGAGATTCCTGCATTGTAGGGGGCTGTAATATTTGATCCTTGGGATCCCTTCCAACTCTCCAATTCTATGATTTTAGAGGGCTGGTTGTGCCATTGGAACAGAGGTTGCATCTTTGTGGATTTCAGAAATTAACTTGCACTCTTGCGCCAAATCGTGGTCAAATCTGATAACTGGGGGGTGGAAATGATACCTTGGCTTGAGGGGTGGGGACTTCCTCTTCTCTGCGAATGATTAGAGACGGCCTCATGCAAATTGGCAGTGCTGTTTTGTCTATAAGACCGTTGGTTTCCCTTTTGGTCTGAGCCAGCGCATGGAGGTGAGCAGTTCTAGAAACAGAACTTCTCAAGAGGCAGCTTGCTAAAATGAAGAGTTCGAAACAGAGGAGGGTTCTCTGGAACTGTCTCCCCGGCCTGCCTCTCCTCCTGGGGAACTGGAACACTGTCCCCTTAGCAAGGTAAGCAGGAGCCGTGTCGATGAGAAATCCCAGGTAGCTGCCTTAAATCCAGTCAGATTCTTGGTCCATCTAGTTTGGTCCTGCTCACGCTGCTCTCCAGGGTTTCAGGCAGGAAGTCTTTCCTAGCACAACCTGCAGATGTTGAGATTTGCACCCAAGACTGTCTGCCACGGCCCTTTCGACTGCATTGCTTTCCTTTTTTGAACCCTTTCCCTTACTGACCTATTACTGGAAATCAAAAACAGATTTCCTCCGAGTTCTTTTAAAAAAATAATATAATTTTTATTGAATTTCCCGTTTTTTACAAACTGACTTCAAATTAAATAGCTTCATGTTTTGGCTTCCCACCCATACCTCCACAGTGTTTTCGTTCACAACCTTTTCTCCTGTATTATATATAAGACAATCGTCTCTATTACAGAAATCCCTCTGATACAGTTAAAGCGAGTTTTGCTCTAACACTGGCATTGGCAGTTGGTTGATTTCCCGTTGTTTTACAGCATGGGTAGGCAAACTAAGGCCTGGGGGCCGGATCCGGCCCAATCGCCTTCTAAATCCGGCCCATGGACGGTCCGGGAATCAGCATGTTTTTACATGAGTAGACTGTGTCCTTTTATTTTAAATGCATCTCTGGGTTATTTGTGGGGCCTGCCTGGTGTTTTTACATGAGTAGAATGTGTGCTTTTATTTAAAATGCATCTCTGGGTTATTTGTGGGGCATAGGAATTCGTTCATATATATTTTTTCAAAATATAGTCCGGCCCCCCACAAGATCTGAGGGACAGTGGACTGGCCCCCTGCTGAAAAGGTTTGCTGACTCCTGTTTTACAGCAATCCATTTGATTCATTATGACTGCTGTTGTTCGTTTGATTAGCTGCTTGCTACCACCAAGGTTTTATAATCTGCATTGTTTTAAATTCTGCTTAATTGGTTTCCGACTATTATCTTTTACAAGTTTGGGGCTTTTTTGTATTTGGAGCTGCGGCGTTTGAATTTGTGTGAGCCGCCTCGAGTCCCAGGGTCTGGGGGAAAGGCAGGATATAAAGAAGTATAACACTACTAATATAAAAGATGTCTCGCAAGTGACTGGCTGCCCGTAAGCCGTCCTGAGGTGGGTCCAGGCGGCAGGAAGCACTTTGCAAAAATATAACAATGCGCCATTAAATAATGCAGTTCTGTCTTCCCTCGCTTTGCAGGAAGAAGAAAAGAAGAAGGCGAAAGAGGAAGAGGAGAAGCGGGAATATGAGGAATACCTGAAGCTGAAGGAGAGTTTTGTGGTGGAAGAAGAGGGAGAGGATGAAGGCATGACCGAAGAAGAGGTAAGTTTGGCCGGGCTGGAGTGCGACGACCGGCTTGTGGGATAGTTGCAGGTGCTTCTCTTGAATAGATACAAAAGGTTGGATCCAGCTATGGCAGACACTTGATTAGACTAAGTTGCAATTTCCATGGGTCTGCCTCGAGTCTTGACTTGTCTGACTTCACCCCAAAGAGTTCAGGGCTTAGAAGGTTTCTTTTTCCAGGTCATATCCATGTCCGTCAGAGAGAGGGTCACGGCATGTCAGCTGCGGGAGGTGGAATTATTAGATTGGCGCAGGACATGAGGCCAAAGAGCCCCATTTAGATGAAGGACTACGGCACGTTAGGAAGAAGTCAAGTTCCTAAAAGCAAAGATACTTAAGAATCGGATCAAAGTGACTCCCAGTTAGTAATGGCATTTCAGCCAATGGGTCAGTTGGATAGTGTTAATTGGATGGTCAGCCAACCCACTTGTTATTTGACTGCGGTCCAATATTATCAGGTATCCCCCAAAACATGGGTAGGCAAACTAAGGCCCAGGGGCCGAATCTGGCCCAATCACCTTCTAAATCCGGACCGCGGACGGTCCAGGAATCAGCGTGTTTTTACATGAGTAGAATGTGTCCTTTTATTTAAAGTGCATCTCTGGGTTATTTGTGGGGCCTGCCTGTTGTTTTTACATGAGTAGGATATGTGCTTTTATTTAAAATGCATCTCTGGGTTATTTGTGGGGCCTGCCTGGTGTTTTTACATGAGTAGAATGTGTGCTTTTATTTAAAATGCATCTCTGGGTTATTTGTGGGGCATAGGAATTCGTTCATTTTCTCTTCAAAATATAGTCCGGCCCCCCACAAGATCTGAGGGACAGTGGACTGGCCCTCTGCTGAAAAATTTTGCTGCCTCAAAACGTCACTGTCTCAGTTGCGACAATCATTCTCGGTTTAGTAAACCAGAATTTATGAAGCTAGGAATAATTGCCTTCCCGCTGTAGGCAGGCTTCTTCATGAGTATCCTCGTTTGAGTGAAGCCCGGTTTCGTCCAAAGCAGAGAACTTTCCCCTAATGTCAATTAACAAATAGGATAACGAGCCAGGATGAGATGCTCCTGGGCTGATGCTTGAGCTGCCTTAGCCTATATTATTTTTCAGGGCTGTTGCGAGTTTAAAATGGGGACTCTGTAAGGAGCTAATAAAATAAATGGTTACATGTCTTTCAACAAAAAAAACCATAACTATTACTCTGTAATAAAATAATTGCTTTTTTTAAAAAAAGGAAATAGCAGTATCGCTGCACAATAACTGCTATCTGCCTTTTGGTTTGTAACTGACACTCAAACCTCTTGATAATTTTATTTTTGGTTGATGTCATAATGCTAAATTGTTGTGTTTTTTTTTAAAAAGAAAACATATAATTTGATAAAATACTATGATTCTTTTTGAGATTCCTGCGTTGTAGGGGGTTGGGGTAGATGACCTTCGGGGCCTTTCCAACTCTACAATTATATGATTTGACTGGCCAAATGGACAAAAAAGAATTATTTTCAGCCCTTCTCTCACCATCTTCTGCTTTGGCTGTATGTCAGGCTAAAAAAATAAGCACCGGGAGCACAGAAGGTTCAGGATTCAACACCGTAGAGTCTTAGTAATTCAGCGTCTGCTGCCATTGAATCATTAAACAAAACGCACAGTGTCAGCCCAAGTCTCTTTCATGTTGATTGTTGCAGCACATCAATGCCGCCAGCTAAATTCTGCTCTCAGGTGGAACATGAACAGACTCGGCTGGAAGGGAGGGTGTGAAACAATTTCCTCTATTAAGAGCAAAAATGATCTTGAGTTGGTAGCAACCTTCTAAGGCAGGCGTAGGCAAACTCGGCCCTCCAGATGTTTTGGGACTACAACTCCCATCATCCCTGACCACTGGTCCTGTTAGCTAGGGATGATGGGAGTTGTAGTCCCAAAACATCTGGAAGGCCGGGTTTGCCTATGCCTGTTCTACAGTCACATCGCATGAATCTTCATTTTCTCTTGTGCCAAAGTTTTTTTTTATTGCAAGCTTATGGGTCAAGTGATAGTCCTTTCCCCATAGTTTTATTTACAAAGGGCGATGGTCAATATAGTCCTACTCAGAGTAGACCCACTGAAATCAGTGGGCGTAAGTATGACTGCATTGGATTTCACTCAAAGATACTCAGTGCTGTTACAATAGTTCGGATACAAAAGCCCAGACCACTTAATACCTCCTGCATTTACTAAGTTCCCTGCGCCAAATTAGAAAAAGTGATTCGACCCCACCCCAAGGCGATGATACCCTACGGTCTTTTGGTAGCTTGTGAAATAGACTTGCCATCTTTGATGAATTCCATTATTTCGCAAACAGTGTTTTGGGGCAGGGATGAGCCAGTCTGGTACAGAAACAATCTATCATAAATATCTATCATGTTAGATTCCAGAGTAGCTTTATTTCTCCTCATTTTGTTGTTGACCCATAACATTTTGGCCAGTATTTCTAAACATATACATCAGGCATATTTAAAAAATAAAATAAAATAATAAAATAAAATAAATGTGAGTGTTACAATTGTTGCATTTTTAGCACTTAGGCTGCAATTCTCTGCCCAGTTACGTGGGAATAAGTCCCATTGAACTCACAGAGAGTTACTTCTGAATAGACACCTTTGCCCTATAGATTCTGATCCAAATTAACGGCTACCAATATGGAACCCAGGATGATATCCTCTTTTTTAAAAAATACATATTTAATGCAGATATATTTTTTTATAAAAAGCATGTTCATACAGTAGTTACAATGGGCTGTCCTTAAAAAATGCCTTATAGGATTTTGGTGCTCTCTTGTGTGTCTGTCTAATTTAGTTTTTTAAAAAGGAAGAAGTCGGTTGAGTACATAAACACATACAAAAAAACCTTGAGACTGCTCCAAAATAGTAGCTTAATTTGGTGGCCGTACAATAAAGAGTTGAAACATTATGCCTCTGAGCACATGCTCAGTCCAGGAATTTACCGGTATGGTCGGTGCCAGAACCAAGCTCACAAGGCCTTTCATATGAAAATCCATTCCTGGTCCTCTGTCTCTCTCCCTGCTCCCAGCATTCTTTACCATCAACTGGTTTTAAACCATTGCTCTTGTTAAACGATGGGGAATCGGAAATCCAGAGCAACGTACCGCAAATCGTTGGAGAGATATGCCAAGTGGTCTGCCCACTCCTGCGATTGTGTACACGGTGCTTTAAAAATAAATATATGCAAAGAGAAAGGGGGGAAGTCCCTGCCCCAATGAGCCTACAGACTCACCAGTTGAGGTGATTGCAGAGGGTAGACCAGGCATAGGCAAACTCGGCCCCCCAGATGTCTTGGGACTACAATTCCCATCATCCCTGACCACTGGTCCTGTTAGCTAGGGATGATGGGAATTGTAGTCCCAAAACATCTGGAGGGCTGAGTTTTCCTATGCCTAGGGTAGACCGAGGCAAGGGGACAGCAATAAATCAACAAGCATGCAAAGGTGCTGCCACACAAAACTGCTTCAGTTGCGGGTTTTCAGGAAGGATTTGAAGAAGAAGGAGGAGGTGAGACATTTTTGCGTGGTGCCATCTACGAAAGTCAAATAAGTTGGAGTTCTTGTTATTAAATATACCAAGAAAAAACCACACCAAGAACTCAGGCCAATGTAAGTTTCAATAGTGGGAGTAGTCCCTACTCCCAAATAAATAATCAGTTTTAACAAAAACTGATCCATTCAAAAGTATGTATTCTGGCAAGGATTACAAACCCAAATAGAGATTACAAACTCTAACAGAGATTACAGACTCAAACTCATAAAGATATGTATAACACAATAATTTGTTAGAGATTTAGAAATAAGAATTTATGAATAGAGACAAGTTCATGTTAGTCCATAGTCAGATTCGACGTGGAGGTCTTAGTTTCAATCACTGAGCAGAAGTCAATTATGGATCTGAAACCAGGACAGGGCCCTGTTTCGATGTATTCACCTTCATCAGCTAATTTTTAAAGTGTCGTGTAAGTTTGAAGACTTTCGGATAAGTATATCCTGTTATCTTCTACGTTTCTCAGAGAATAGCAACTACGCGTGGGTAAATCAACGTGTATCTTGAGCTTTTCTGTGCAAGAGTCATGCACGAGCCGATTTCATGACACCTGGAAGCTCCTGGTGGTGGTGGAAAGCTTTTTAAGCCATTTCAGACAAAATCCACAATAAACCGGGTGGTCAGTTGCAGGACAGAAGTTTTTCTGAAAGCAGAATTACCCACCCGGACATTCCTAACTCCAAGGGGACTGCACGTACTTAAGCAATGAGGGCCTTCTGTCCCTGACACGGTTGGCCCTTTGCATAGAAATCCAGGCAGAGATTGGTTTTATAATCTATAGCAGCATCAGATTAATAATAGTTTCTTTTGCTGTACCTAGTCCCGCAGCTTCGTATCAGAACTTCTCGACTACATCAAGGTAGGTTACACTCCTTTTGCTCTTTCCCTTTAACAATGAATATCATCCCCTTGCGCTGCACATCTGTTGTTCGACAAAGCGCCTCGTTCTCACGCATAAAGTGTTGTGTCTCTTGTAAGCTACAGTCTGCGCTGCATCTGTAAAATGGGTTCACTACTCAGCTTAGTCTGCGGCAGAGACTACTGCAGTGACTTTCTTCGATACTCTGCCCCTATAGAACTGGGATCTGTATCTGCCATTTGCAAGCCCAAATTGAAGCGGCAGAACATGCTCCTGGTACTCTCCTTCAATGGAGGTTTTCTAAACGGAGGTTGGATGATCACCTGCCAGGGTTTCTCCAGCTCTGGTTCCTGCATTGTATGGGGTTGGGCTAGATGACCCTTTGATTCCCTTCCAAGTGTACAGTCCTGTGATTCTATGAGCTTTGCAGCCTGTGTGCAGCCCAGGTGCCGGGGGAATGAAAGAAAAAAAGGTGGCAGGAATCCGAGAATACAAGCAAGGAAGGGCCAATAGATTTCAGGGGAGGAGGGTTTCAATGACTTGCCCCATTTTGGTCAGACTGTACAGTGGACGCTCAGGTTGCGAACGTGATCCGTGCGGGATGCACGTTCGCAACCCACAGCATTTGCAACCCTCGCACGCGCAGGATGCGATTCGGCACTTCTGCACATGCACAAAGCGCGATTTAGCGCTTCTGCGCATGCGCGACCGCCAAAACCCGGAAGTTACCCGTTCCGGTACTTCCGGGTTTCGGCGGTCTGTAACCCGAAAAAACGCAACCTGAAGCAGCTATAACGCGAGGTATGACTGTACAACCTTCTCTTAATCATTGAGCTCAGGGGAAGCTGTTTGTAGCAGAGGGGCAATGCACAGCACTGATTGGTCAGCATTCGGGAAAATAAGCCTCCTACTTGACAGTGATTTTTTTTGAAAAAAAAGTTTTAAGAAAACTGATTGGGGTATTTGAGGGGAACACCCACCTCACCCACACAATACAGTGGTACCTTGGTTCTCAAACTTAATCGGTTCCGGAAGTCCGTTCCAAAACCAAAGCATTCCAAAACGAAGGCACACTTTCCCATAGAAAGTAATGCCTTAAACCAGCAATTTAACATGAATTTTACTATCTAACAAGACCATTGAGCCATAAAACAAAAGCAATAATCAATGTTCTGTACTATAAAATAAATAAGACAGTTTTGTAGATTATAAAACTAAAAATTAAAATTTTTTCTTACCTGCACTGATGATAGTCATATATTATATATATATATACAGCTTAACATTAGTCCAGGATTCTCATCTCTGCCTTGTATTGTCAAGTTCCTTCCCTTATGATTCTCCTGTTTCTATGGTGAATGAATCCGTACACCCCACCCTCTGCCCGCTCAAAGCACATTTTTCACAATTAATGTTGCATAAAACCTTGAACGCTGCTTCCCCTCCCTGTTCAAACCTGAAAGCCTTAAACCACCAAGTTTCGTACTTGAAGCAATCCCTCCCCCGCAGCCCTAATGAAAGCAGAAGATCTTACCTTTTGTCAGATCGCTGCTAACTGAAAGCTTTTCTGAAGAGGAGAAGAAGCAGAGCACAAAACACCGATTCTGGCTTTGGCATTAGCTAGTTGGCGGGACAGCGGCTGTCTGTAAGAAGAGCTCTCTTGGATCAGGCCATTTACCCATCTGGTCCAGCCTCCTGCTCTCACAGTAGCCAGCCAGATGTGTGCGAAAAGCCTATTCAGCAGGACCGGAATGCTTGTTCCTCTGAGGCATGAACAAGGCGGAGGAGAGATTGTCTGCACGCATACGCAGTCTATGATTGCTTGGGGAAAACCCTGGAGAGGAAGGGGACTTAGATGTCTGTGGGAAGGCAGGGACCTTCAGTCTCAGCACCTGCTTCATGGGAGCAAGACCTGCTGGAGATGAGTCGCTGCGCTCATTAGGGCTATAGTAGTAGTAGTTGTAGTTGCTTCATCGTGTCCGACTCTTCGTGACCCCCCTGGACCAGAGCACGCCAGGCACTCCTGTCTTCCACTCCCTCCCGCAGTTTGGTCAGACTCGTGCTGGTAGCTTCGAGAACACTGTCCCACCATCTCGTCCTCTGTCGTCCCCTTCTCCTTGTGCCCTCCATCTTTCCCAACATCAGGGTCTTTTCCAGGGAGTCTTCTCTTCTCATGAGGTGGCCAAAATATTGGAGCCTCAGCTTCAGGATCTGTCCTGCCAGTGGGCACTCCGGGCTGATTTCCTTCAGAATGGAGAGGTTTGATCTTCTTGCAGTCCATGGGACTCTCAAGAGTCTCCTCCAGCACCAGAATTCAAAAGCATCAATTCTTCGGCGATCAGCCTTCTTTATGGTCCAGCTCTCACTTCCATACATCACTACTGGGAAAGCCATAGCTTTAACTATACGGGCTTTTGTTGGCAGGGTGATGTCACCCAGTTGTAATAATAATAGTAATATTTTTTATTATTTATACCCCCGCCCATCTGGATGGGTTTCCCCAGCCACTCTGGTGGCTCCCAACAGAATATTAAAAACAAATAAAACATCAAACATTAAAAACTTCCCGAAACAGGGTTGCCTTCAGACGTCTTCTAAAAGTCATATAGCTATTTATTTCTTTGACATCTGCTGGGAGGGCGGGCGCCACTACTGAGAAGGCCCTCTGCCTGGTTCCCTGCAACCCCACTTCTCCCAGTGAGGGAACCGCCTGAAGGCCCTCAGGGGTGGACCTCAGTATCCTAGTTGAACGATGGGGGTGGAGACGCTCCTTCAGGTATACTGGGCTGAGGCCGTTTAGGGCTTTAAAGGTCAGTACCAACACTTTGTCACCCCTGTGCAAATCACTGTTTTTTTGCTAATAAAGAGTTAACTCCAACATGCACAGTGTGATTTACAGCCGGCTAGCTCCTAACATGCCTGCTCCTTATCACCAACCCGGTCAACAATTTGGCTGCAGCTTTATGAGCCAGTTGAAGTTTCTGAGCCCTTTTTAAAGGCAGCCCCATGTAGAGCAGGTTGCAGTAATCCAAGCGGGATGGAACTAAGGCATGTGCTGGGACATCAGACATCTCAAGGAACGGGCTCAGCCGGCGCACTAGTTTTAACTCTGCCAATTCACTCCTGGCTACCGCAGAGACTTGAGTATCCATGCTCAGGGCTGAGTCCAGGAGCATGTTCTAATTGTGAGCCTCAGGAGGAGTGTAACCACACGCAACACGGGTTGAATCCCTATTCCCTGTCCTGCCTTACACGGCTGACCAAGAGTTTTGATTTCCTTCACCCTCATCCAGTCCACCACGGCTGTTGTTGTGCAGGTGACTATGGGCTGCCAGGAGCAGGCAGGCAGGATCCTGGCTGCATCGCCCTGGCAAAGCTGGTGCCCAGCTGAGCAGGACTGCAGTTGGCATTCTTCCCCCTTAATCCCTTTAGAAGAAGATATGCAGAACCCTGGCAGTTCCAAGCTCTGAGAACTGGTTTTCATGGACTGGTTCCAGTTCAGTATGTTCAGTCCATAATGCTCAGTTCTCTAGCTCGGCTGCATCTGACTTCATAACTTGGGGACTTGGAAAGGCTGGCCTTTATCCGATGAAATGGGTTTATTTGTTTACACACTGTACATTTCCCTTTCCTTTTTTAAGGACTGCTATTCACATTAGTTGGGACGCGGGTGGCGCTGTGGGTAAAACCTAGGACTTGCCGATCGTATGGTCGGCGGTTCGAATCCCCGCGGCGGGGTGAGCTCCCGTCGTTCAGTCCCAGCTCCTGCCCACCTAGCAGTTCGAAAGCACTCTTAAGTGCAAGTAGATAAATAGGGACCGCTTTATAGCAGGAAGGTAAACGGCGTTTCCATGTGCTGCGCTGGTGCTGGCTCGCCAGCTGCAGCTTCGTCACGCTGGCCACGTGACCCGGAAGTGTCTTCGGACGGCGCCGGCTCACGGCCTCTAGAGCGAGATGAGCACGCAACCCCAGAGTCGGACACAACTGGCCCGTACGGGCAGGGGTACCTTTACCTTTACCTATTCACATTGGTTATTATTTTTTAGCCAACTTTGCGTTTGGAAAAGTGTCTGTAGGGATAATAATTACCAATCGCCCAGTGTAAGATTTTGGGCTGTTTTCCATTGAGTTGCAATTACGGCTCACGTTGCCGAGTTCAAGCAGAAGAGCAATTATTTTGACAAATGTATTTTACATTGGTTTCATCAAAAAATATTCAGCGACATTCATCTTGGATAGCAAACAACAGTTTCTTTAGCAATATGTATCATTTCTGTCAAAACTAAGTTCCCAAAATCTTTCACCAACTGATAATATAGTACATACCAAAGTCCAGTTTGTGTTAAAATAAAGCTGCAAAATGTGTACTGTTTGACTCGCTAATTTCAGTTTTTTGCCTCTTCCTCATAGAGTGCCAAAGTGGTTCTTTTGGAGGACCTGGCCTCCCACCTGGGCATAAGGACACAGGTACGTGTTTGCAGGCCAGGCCACAGGTGCATCAGCGACAGAGACACCGCCAATCCAATCCATATGTTTTGACACCGACCTCATGGGATGGTGTCCTATCAGGACTGCATATCCTCTCTGTTGGCATCCAGCGACGTTCACTGGGGAAATGCGCTACCCTGTGTTATCATAGCACAGGAGAGGGGTTCCTGGACATAATGAGAAAATTTGGCACAGTAAATGAGAAAGCCCTAAAACTAGGATTCTCGCCAAATGCCACTCTTAAGCAGAGGCTTGACAGCCATATGTCAGGAGTGCTCTGATGGTGTTTCCTGCTTGGCAGGGGGTTGGACTCGATGGCCCTTGTGGTCTCTTCCAACTCTATGATTCTATGATTCACTCTTGCTGTGGATTCTGCAAAAGGCAACAAAAACATGCGCCAATGCATCTGGGATGCCAAGTTGCAAAATTATATAAACACAGTTTCCATTTTTCCAGCTTTTAGAATCAGAGCGGGCGTTTCTTCGTGGAGATCATCTGATCCATCTGACTATTCCAAAATTTAGGAAACCATTTACCCAGGCTAAATTTAATGTGCTTCCATCTGCAGTACAGGAGGGTAGTTGCAACAGTGCCATACAATGGGCGCTTATGCCCCTGTCAAACAGAGAAAATAGAAAATGTGGAACATGTTTTATTGCATGTCCTGTTCTTCCTATTGTGATATCCGCCACCATTTCACTAATCAAATTTTACAAAGTATACTAGGCAGATCTGAAGTGTTTTATATTGATTATCTTTTGGTTGACCAGTCTCCCGAGATTATCGCCAAGGTAGCTAGTTTTTGTGCGGCAGCGATAGCTTGTCAGCGCAGGATCTTGCCCTAACTTTAAAATTGCTAACACCTTAAGTTGCTCCTCATCATTAAATTATCATTGTTTTATACTTCTCCCATCTGTTTTTATATTCTGCATTGTTTTTAAATTCTGTATTTAATATTGAACTTAATGTATCATACTGTGTTTTACGTATTTTCCTTTCTTCCTACCTTCTCAACTTGTTATTGATCGAAATACATAAATATATAGGCATTCCCTCTTCGCCTTTAATGTATGCTGATGTGTAAGAGAAATGTCCCCTGAAGCAGACACTTGCCAGGCCTTTGTGGAAAGGCTGGTGTGTCGTGGTGTTGTCTGAAAACATGCCTCTGCACCTGGAAATGTGATATTTGCTGCTTACGGGGTTTGTTTTTCCTCAACAGGATGCAATTAACAGAGTGCAAGACCTGATGGCTGATGGAACGCTCACAGGTAACAGTGAAAACATTATGGGGCCGATCGCCTTGTTTAGACTGAAGCAGCAATATAGCAGCAGCAGCACCTGAACATCTCTGGTTGATTATTTTTGATATTCAGCTGCTGTTTCAGCTTGGTCCCAGTGCTGAAAATGCCATCCGTCGGAGTAAAAATAGTTGCAGATGGGTCCAAATGGTTGTTGTTGTTTAGTCGTTTAGTCATGTCCAACTCTTCGTGACCCCCTGGACCAGAGCACGCCAGGCACTCCTGTCTTCCACTGCCTCCCGCAGTTTGGTCAAACTCATGTTTGTAGCTTCGAGAACACTGTCCAACCATCTCGTCCTCTGTCGTCCCCTTCTCCTTGTGCCCTCCATCTTTCCCAACATCAGGGTCTTTTCCAGGGAGTCTTCTCTTCTCCTGAGGTGGCCCAAGTATTGGAGCCTCAGCTTCAGGATCTGTCCTTCCAGTGAGCACTCCGGGCTGATTTCCTTCAGAATGGAGAGGTTTGATCTTCTTGCAGTCTATGGGACTCTCAAGAGTCTCCTCCAACACCATCCATTCTTCGGCGATCAGCCTTCTTTCTGGTCCAGCTGTCACTTCCATACATCCAAATTAGCACAACTTAAACGTCAAGGATTACTTCTGAGAAGACTCGCGTCTGGCCGTTGCTGGCTGACCAAAAACTGAGATAGTAGAAAACATCAAACATTAAAAACTTCCCTGAACAGGGCTGCCTTCAGATGTCTTCTAAAAGTCAAGTAGTTGTTTGACATCTGATGGGAGGGCAGTCCACAGGGAGGGAGCCAAGAAGCCTGCCACATTGCTATACTGGGGTGGAGGAGATGCTTTAAAAAAAGGCTGATTGAATTTTTGTAGAGGGGGGCCATCAACTCTTTCCTCCTCCATCAAGCGACTTGCTCCAGGCAACACATCCTGCCTCGCCCTTGGCTGGTGATGATAGAGTGATAGAGTAGGCAAACCTGCCAAGAAGAGTAAAAGCAAACCCACCCACCCCCATTAATTAGTGGGACACTTAAAATCACATTTAGGCCCCTAATGGAACCAATTTGTCAATTAGAGGTTACAGGCCTAAGTATTTATATCGTGCAGCCAAATCCAAATCTTTGGAGACGGGCTGATTAAGAAATCCTAGCTAGGCAATAAAACGAATGTAGAAAGAGCAGCTTGCGGAGCTTAATTCTGGTTTGGCCTTGCCTCTAGGCGTAATCGATGACAGAGGAAAGTTCATCTACATCACGACGGAGGAAATGACGGCCGTGGCCGACTTCATTCGGCGGAGGGGACGCGTCTCCATTACAGAACTGGCTCAGCAAAGCAATTCTCTCATCAACCTAGAACCCGAAGCCAGGGCAATCGCTAAGGGGGTTGCATAAAAAGGCAATTTTTACACGCTCAGAGGAAATAAAGTGTGGTTATAAAACGGGTGTCTCCATCAAATTTTTGTTTTCCTTGTCATTTCATTTATATGCCACTTAATATATTTTAATATATTATATAAAGTAATATATAAAATATATTATAATATAATTTATATGCCACGATGGCTTCTAAGCAGTTTACAAAACCCAAATGCCAACCGTAAAACATTATTAAAATGCGGTGTCGTTTTATGTACTTTCTTATGCTTGTTCAGTATCGTACAGAATCAGAAGACGGGTGTCGTCGCCTCCATTTTTTAAAAAAAATACCAGAACAATTAAAATACATAATGAAGTGGTCTCTTTATAAACTATGCAATAAAATAATCAAATTAAAACAGGAGACTCAGGTGAAGAAATCACCTGATTTCTTGGCGGAATGCCAAAATAGTGTGTAAAAAAAAAAGTAAACAAATACATATATAACAAATAATTTTTTTGTTTGTTAAGTGGTGTCATCATTCCCTCTGCTCCTTTTTACACTGTGAGTGCCATTGTTTCTATAGTCAAACCAGTGTCGCTGTCCACAAGAGAGAGGTATTGGTAGGACTGAACAAACCTGCAGGTTTGCAGAACTCCAAAAAATAAAATAAAATAATGTTTCAGGAGGAGAGAGAAGTGTCAGAAAAGCAGAGGAAACTCCCAGACAGCATGATGAGGGCTTTGATGTAATATTTGGAATTAGGGGGCATTCAATAAAGTTGAGTAAACACTTGCAACTGATGTAAAAAGGATAAGAAAATACTATTGGATATACAGATTATTTTTTTAAAAAAAACATTTTTATTGATTTTCCAATAAAAACAGCCAATCAACATATCCACATCATAATCGAATTAAAAACAAGAAACTAAAATAAAACAAGACCAAATTGTAGTCCAAATTGTAATTATTAATTTTTCCGGGCTCCCCATAGTCTGGAACTCTGAAGCATTTCTCCAAATCTTCATTCTTTCCTCTTCTCGTTTTCACATTTTCCGCCTTCTGGTCTTAACGCTTTAAAGTTCTCTGTCCCTGGCTATGTGATTCTCAATCATGTCAAAAATCATATGTCCTTTCATCCACCGAATACAGCTTTATTTGTAAATATATATTTTTTCAACTGTCTATTTACCAGAGCAGCTTTTCCTGACTTCATTCCAATCCAGGTTTATCATTTGAAGTTAAACGACACAGCAACTCCCAAGTTGTTAAATCACTCCAGTCTGGGCTGTTGTCCAAACCTTTCTTTTGAGATTTAGTGACGCAGTGTCTTCCACGTTGTTGAGTTGTTGCTATAGATTTTTGGGCAGACTGTTTGCAATATTGCAATGTAAATGAACTGTATTCCACAGATATAAATCATTTGGCGATCGATCAGCCTTCTCGGAGACCACACCCTCCCCCCGGATATAAAGAATTTGATATAAAGGGTAATATAGCAAGCAGGGGAAGGAAATGTGTTAAAAACCAGAATAAGAAGTTGAGAGAAGGGGGGGGGGATCTGGGGACTCTTCAGTATGTGATTTGATATGTTATTATAACGATGGAATTGTAAAACCTAATAAAAAATTATTTAAAAACAAGCAAACAATAAAGTTGAATGGAAGGCTCCAGAGAAACAAAAGGAGGTCCTTTTTTACACAGTTGGCAGAGGACTTTGTGGGTGCCAGAGGAGGACCACAAGGAGACCATTGGACCCACAGCACCACACTGTCAACCCCTCGAGTAGGCTCACGATTTTAGGGCAGAAAAACTACCCAGATAGGACATCTCGCCAGATTATTAGGAACAGCAGTGTTGCACGCAAAATTCAACGAAGATGTCTAACATTATAGATGCAGTGCCACTGGCTATTTAATACACAGCACATTTTCTCACCGGGTCTGGTTTCTGGGGTTCACTGAATGTATATAATAATAATAATAAAGCACTTCTGTCAAAAATCCCTGTTGGACTACTTGAATCTCAGTGCCGTCTTGCTCAGAAGTTGAACTGAAGTGTTCCAAGTTGAATCACCCATTTGATTTTTGAAAATTGAATAATTTGGTGGCTTCTTGGTGGCAGATTCAATGTGGATGGATGGATGGGAGTTGAAGCCCCACAACATCTGAACATAAGAACCCAAGGAGAACTTGCAGGATCAGGCCAATGGCCCATCTAGTCCGCCATCCTCTTCTCACAGTGGCCCAATGCTGCAGTGGAAAACCTGCTATCAGGATTCAAACACAAGAGGCCTCTGCCCTCCCATGGCAACTGAAGCATCACTAGCCAACATGCTTAGTAGCCATCGAAAGACCTCTGCCATGAATTTGTCCAATCCTCTTTTAAAGCCATCCCTGCTTCTTGAGGGAGCAAGTTCCACAGTTCGGCCATGTGGCGGGCCTACGGTTCCCCATCTCTGGCGCTGACATGACCGATGCGCTGGCAGCTGTGGCAACAGAACAGTTGCCCTTCCATTGTTTTGCCGCAGAGGTTCTCTGGCCTGCTGTCGCTTCCACGCGCGCTGGTCCGCGCACAGCCACATGGGACTGGAGGGGAACGCGCAGCCATGTCGCTACAGAACGAAGTCACGGTGAGCCGCCATGCGCAGGGCGCAAGGCGACTGTGGGGAGGTTGCGGTTGGAGCTGGAGAGCGCAACCCCCCTTGGGCGCATAACAGTTGCTGAGCAACAGTTGGGGCTGGGCCTGAGGAACAAGCCTGAGGAGCCGGCGTAGTTTGTGCGCAGGCGAAGGACTTGCGCCTCGGGCGTCCGTGTATGTGGCAAAGCGAAGGCTTTTCCGAAGGCCCATGAGGCCCAAATCCATGCCATAAGTGAGAGGTTAGGCCTCGGATTGAGGCCCTAGGAAGCATGGGCTTCTCACAGGGCCTTCCCAAGACATTTTGCAGCCTGAGGCGGAGGACAAGATGGCGCCCTTCCCCAAGGTTCGCAGACACAGGAGCCACAACCTATATGGCGGCCGTTCTCTCGTGATAAAAAAATGGGATATCCCTCCCAAGTATCCCTATTTTCCAGAGACAATCCCAGATTTATAGAAGCCGTAAATTTTTTGAGCCTGGAATGTCCCACCTTCCCTTAGGATGTCCCTATTTTTAATCTCTGTTGGAAGCCACAGGGTACAAATAATTGATTATTATTATTATTATTATGTTGGAGGGTCTAGAGCAGTGGTTCCCAACCTTTTTTTTTTTTTTTTGCCATGCCCCACCTAAGCATCTCTCAAATCCTGGTGCCACCCACCACCCCCTGTGACATATAATTTTTATTATTCAAATAGTGAACTCCTATTCACGTGGAGGAAGCCTAAAAGGCCATTAACTGTTAATAACTCGTTCTCGAATTGCCCCCCCCTTAATATGGCCCACGTTGGGAACCGCGGGTCTAGAGTTATCTGACCCCCTGAGCCAAGCAGATCAGTAACTAGGCAACCTTCAGAAAACATCTGAAGGCAGTCCTGTGTAGGGAAGTTTTTAAAAAACGTTTAATTATGTTTTATGTATGTCGGAGGCCATCCAGAATGGCTGGGCCAACCCAGTCAGATGGGCGGGGTCTAAATAATAAAATGATGATGATGATGGAGGAATAGGACATCCCTATTTGCGTCGAAGAAATGTTTTTCTGGGATCCTTGCAAGGTATGTACATGGGGCCAACAACAGCTTCAGATTTTCCACAGGAAGGAGGCCTGCAGCAATGGTGAAAAATAGCTTCCTGGGTGCATTGAGAGCCACAGTGGGCAGGACACAGAGAACCACAGAGTTGGAAGGGACCCCTGGAGGTCCTCTAGTCCAACCCCCTGCAATGCAGGAACCTCAACCCGAGCGTCTGTGGCATGTATGGAACTGGCCCCACCCTTTGTCTTTGCAGGAGGCCCACGTGTGCAAGTCGCAGGAAGAATCGATCCAGTCTGCAGAGGTGCTGAGCGTCATGCTGGCGTCGAAAGGCGTGCGGGCGCGCTCCATCCACGAACAGCTTGACGGCTTGTCTCTGTCCACCATCTACTGCCTGCTGGCCGCTCTGATGCAGTGCCTGAGCCTAGCCAGCCTCTGCGTGGCCGTTTCCCTGCTCAAGTGGGTGGCCGTGGTTCAATATCCGTACACCAGGCAGCCGAAGCGGTGGGTGACGTACAATTTCGGGGTGCCCGACGTGATGGAAGTGTACGAGACACAGCAACCCAACGGCACAGACATTCGTAAGAGGGCCTTCTCCCCCAAACAGCCCCTGCTCCTGCGCCGTTTCAGGGTGGGTGGGGATTCTGTACCAAGGGGCCCCAAATCTAGTCCAACCCCCTCTATCCTATATAGAGATCAAACCTGAAACCTTGGTGTTATCAGCTAGGTGTAGGTGGGTATGTTTACATTGCTTTCATTTGCTCTTGTGGTTCGCTGTTCAAACTATTTTAAAATTAGGAGTTCAACCCCACCCCACCCCTCTAAAAGTATATTTAAATCACTTGCTTTTCAAAAAACTTTTGCAAAAGCTCGGTTTGTTTTGCTGAAGCCTTGTATTTTTGTCCATGGTTGTCGTAAATTATCGTTACGGCGCTGAGTGAATAGTGAATACAAAGTTCTACTCCCTGAAGACCCTGGACTTGCTACTTTCACAAAACAGGCTGAGCAATTTGCTGAGCAGACGCCAAGGCATGGACTCTCTCTGAGTCATTTTCAGAAAATTATTATTATTATTATTATTATTCCCCCGTCTTTTCCACTGACAGTGAAGGCCGTTTACAGATAAAAATACAGTGGTACCTCGGGTTACAGACACTTCAGTTTATGCGTTTTCAGGTTGCGGGCCACAGGAAACCCAGAAGTACCGGAAAGGGTTACTTCCGGATTTCGCCACTTCGCCAGAAGCCCTAAATCACGTCACGCGCGTGCGCAGACGTGGAGCTGCAGGTTACGAACACTGCAGGTTGCGGACGTGCCTCCGTCACGGATTACGTCCGCAACCCGAGGTTCTGTGAGATTTTGACCAACTTCGGCCCATCTGAAGCTGATACAGGCTCGTCTTATCTTGAGCCCAAGCAGAGTAGTCCATACAGCAGAAGGATAAGCAGTATGTGCCACATTCTTAACTTTATTTCCACTCTATGCTGAGAGAATACAAACATGCATCTTGCCTCTGTGAGAGCAGAGAAGCAACTCCTCTCGGAAACAAAGAACACCGAGAGAAACAGTGAAAAACAGGAAACCAGTGTACGTCACATCCAGTCTCCCATTCCCGTGGGAATCCAACAGTAACTCTGACTGTGGAATGCAAAACAATGTCTTCTGACTGCAGTTGCTGCTCAGTGAGGGAAATAGAAACCAACAGGTTCCACTGTAAGAGCAGCTAAAAACACAGAGGGAAAACAACTGAAAATCAATTAAACATTGGTATAATTAAAACAGCACAGCACCACCCTTTTCATTAAAAGCAATCCGTTCCCAAAAGCCTGTTGAACCAAGAAATCTTCACCTGCTAGCAAATGAACAAGGAGGGGGCCAGTTTGACTTCTTTAGGGAGGGAGTTCCAAAGTCTTGCTTCAGGACTTGGTAGGCAGACTGGCAAGGTTTAACAATTATTAATCAAGATCCTTTATTAGGCATAGCAAACCACACATTATCAAACAGACACCGTATACAAATGGTGCAAAATACGAACTCAACATAACAAGGTTTGTCCCAGTCATATCTTTGACTCCAGAGAAGATCAATTTGCATAAATAATACAATACAGCACTACCAAATCCCCGATCAGTTAAGAACCACTAATTTTCTTTATAATGGCTCAGTCTTTCTACATGGCCAGCACTCAAAAATTCAGCCACTATTAAAGTAATTTGATCATTCCTGTCCGAAAGCAGGTCCTGAACTGCTGGTAGCATAGAAATCTGCCTATTGAGTTGTAAGGCCACTAATAATTTTCTTCTGGCATAAATGCCAAAATCACAAGAAAAGAAAATATGCTCCAAAGTATCAGGTTCCTGTTTATCAAACCAGAGCATCTCTAGATAAAAGTGCCATGGGTACCACAAGCTGGGTTAGTAGCTCTGCTGCCAGTCAGAACAGACAGCCTTGGGGTTAGGTGGATCCAACATCCTTTTCTCACAAGATGTAGCCAACCAGATGCCTGTGCCAAACTGGCAAGCAGGACCTAAGCACAAGAGCACTTCCCCTTCCTGTAGTTTCCAGCAGCCAGTAGTATTCTAAAGCATCGCTGTCTCAACTGTGGAGGCAGAGAAGAGCCATCCTGGCTAGGAGCCATCGACAGCCCTCTTGTCCGTGAATTTGTCACAGTCCTCTTTTAAAGCCTTCTAGGTTGGTGTTCGGGACGCGGGTGGCGCTGTGGGTTAAACCACAGAGCCTAGGACTTGCCGATCAGAAGGTCGGCGGTTCGAATCCCCGCAACAGGGTGAGCTCCCGTTGCTCGGTCCCTGCTCCTGCCCACCTAGCAGTTCGACAGCACATCAAAGTGCAAGTAGATAAATAGGTACCACACCGGTGGGAAGGTAAACGGCGTTTCCGTGCGCTGCTCTGGTCCGCCAGAAGCGGCTTAGTCATGCTGGCCACATGACCCGGAAGCTGTACGCGGCTCCCTCGGCCAGTAAAGCGAGATGAGCGTTGCAACCCCAGAGTCGGCCACGACTGGACCTAATGGTCAGGGGTCCCTTTACCTTTACCTTGGTGTTCACCACTGCCTCCTGTAGCAGTGAGTTCCATAGTTTAACAGAGAGATGGCCATAGCATGTAGCAGAGCATCTGATTTGCATGCAGAAGGGTGTGGGTTCCGCCCCCAGCATCTCCAGTTAAAGTTAGGAAAGGCTTTTGTCGGGCCTGAATGAAACCTTGGAAAGCTACTGCCTCTCAGCCTGGATAGTTTGGTAGTCTAATGATCTGACTCTGTATCAGGCAACTTCCTGTGTTCCTCAATAAGCTCACCAAACTACACTTCCCAGGATTTTTGGGGGGAGGCCTTGGCAGTTTGGGTGAAAAAATGGTTACAAATTGATTCCGTTTTTTGAGCAGATGCGTTGTGCTTTACAGAGCCTAGGGCTTGCCGATCAGAAGGTTGGCGGTTTGAATCCCCACGACGGGGTGAGCTCCCGTTGTTCGGTCCCTGCTCCCGCCAACCTAGCAGTTCGAAAGCACGTCAAAGTGCAAGTAGATTAATAGGTACCACTCCAGCGGGAAGGTAAACGGCGTTTCCGTGCACTGCTCTGGTTCGCCAGCAGTGGCTTAGTCATGCTGGCCACATGACCCGGAAAAACTGTCTGCGGACAAACGCCAGCTCCCTCGGCCTATAGAGCGAGGTGAGCGTGCAACCCCAGAGTCGTCCACGACTGGACCTAACTGTCAGGGGTTCCTTTACCTTTACAGTTTGCCATATGAATTTCCCTCTCCTTTCTATTCCGACAGCGGAAGTTCATTTCTTTCCCAACACTGCTTTCGTGCCGTGGTTTATCAGCATTTGTTTCGTGGGCATGTTCTTGGGCTTTGCGGCTTTTCTCCTGGATTTCATGGAGATTGAGATCCTAGGCAAACATAAAACAGCCGTTGCTACTTCCCTGCACATTTTGTCAGGTAATTTGCCAGTTTCTACGTAGAGTTGCCGGTTCTTTTGCATCTAACACTGATAAGGGACAGTTTCAACTCAACCCATAATTGCATTGGTATTAAAAAAAATGAGCAAGGGAAATCTTCAGTTTGCATGCATAGCTGGCTCACAGAAGAGAGCGGCCCTTGTGTGTTTCGTCCCGACTCGACGTGTTCTGTGGCTCACAGAACAATAAGTGACTGTTGTGGGGAATGGAAAACCGAGGTGGAGGAATGCAATGGGGAAATCTGGGAGAGGGCATGGTTGGCTTGAACCCTGGACAGGAACACCCCACACAGCAATGTGTTGTTGCAGGTCTTGATAGTTTTAATGGTTGTTGTGGAAGATGCACCAGTGAATAAGGCACAAGACACAGAAAATTCCCAAAGAGCCCACAGTCAAAATCTAGGTGTCAGTGAGAGAACAAAAGTAATGAGTATAAATTTTCTGGGTGTGCCTTGCACATTTATCCACAAAGAGAAGGCAGAGTAGATTTTAAATTTAATTTAAACCTGACCCACCCATATCTCTCCAATTGGGCCCTGTGAGGTTACAGTGTGACCGAGAGTAGTTTAATAAAACTTTGCATGCCATACTGGTGGAATCTACACACATATAAAAACCGTTCTGAAAATGCTTTTTTTAAAAGCGTTTTTAAAAATACAGTGAGTTTTCCATAAGTTTTGTCATCGCCATCTAGTGTCACATTGCATATTGTACTTAGAACACACTTAAAATGTTTTATTTGCAGCTGTATAGCTGAGTCCATGGTGAGAAGGGGATTGTGGGGGATTTAATGCAGACAAATTCAACTAAGCATAGATTGCCAATAGGCAATGGGGATAATAATGCTGTTGTATTTGTCTGCATTAATTTTCTCACACCCTAAATGCCATGGAGCGGGTCTGCCTCACATTTATGTCAATAACTTTGCTGGCTCAGGGTATCAATAATCCCAAGCTGGGCTGAACTTTTGGGGAAGGCTGTAGCTCCACTGTAAAGGGTCTGTCTTCCACACGGTGGCTCCCAGCTTCCTTCCCTGGCATCTCTAGGTAGGACTGGGAACAACCCTTACCGGAAATGCTGGAGAGCTGCTGCCAGTCAGTGTTGGCAACACTGCATCAAATGGACCAATGGTGAGAGCCAGTGTGGTGTAGTGGTTAAGAGCGGTAGTCTCGTAATCTGGGGAACCGAGTTCGATTCCCCGCTCCTCCACATGCAGCTGCTGGGTGACCTTGGGCTAGTCACACTTCTCTGAAGTCTCTCAGCCCTGATCACTCACCTCACAGAGTGTTTGTTGTGGGGGAGGAAGGGAAAGGAGAATGCTAGCCGCTTTGAGATTCCTTAGGGTAGTGATAAAGCGGGATATCAGATCCAAACTCTTCTTTAAAAAAATAATTAAAAAATGGACCAATGGTCTGACTCTGTATAAGGCAGCTTCTTGCAGTGATGGGGGCTGGGGCCTTCTCCATGGTGGCCCCTGATTGTGGAACTCACACCCTCTGGAGACAAGGCAATCCCCCTCCATAACAGAAGGCAATAATATACCCATTTTCATGCAGGCATTTGGGTGCAACACTCTAGGTGGAATCTGTTTTCGTTTTATTGCTGTTGAACTGTTTTATTGGTTGATTGGCTTTTAACTGACATTTAGATTTTACGTGTTGTTTTAAATAGTCTTGTGCATCACCCAGGATGGGCCACTGGCTTGTTCCTGCAGGGCTCAGGATAGATAGTGAAATATACTCGGAGTCGCGAGTGGATTTCATGCTCTTTATTCAGCTCATAGTGGTGAGGAGGAATAGGAGTTCCCCCGGAATGTCTGCTTTATATACATTATTTACATAATGGGCCCCACGTGATTGGCTACTTCCGGGATTCTCCTGTAGGCCAATCAGGTTGCGGATTCACTTCCACCTAGAGCTGGATTGGGTGGCTCCTGTGGACCAATCAGACTGCTGCAATCTGGGTCCTATTGTTCTAGGACCGATCAGACTGCTGCATTTTGGATCCTATTCAACTCAGTACATAACAGATAGATAGATAGATAGATAGATAGATAGATAGATAGATAGATAGATAGATAAAATTTAAGCACTGTGCATGGCTTCCCAGAACCAACAGCTGTCAACAGATAAGCTCATAGCTGCCCTGCCTGCCTGTTCCATCTCTATGACACAAACAGGAAGAATTGGACTCTAATGAGACCTTTCTAATGGCCTTTCTTTCCCCTCCCCCTGCAGGCATCTTCCTTGTAATCCTCATTGGAATCTGTTGCTGGTGTTTTGTGACGGTTAACGAACGGATCTACAGGGATGATCTGATGAACGCCGAGTTGCTCAGTTTCCTAGGAGAGAGTTTTTATATCACCCTGCTGTCCCTTGCCTTCGCGAGCTTAGCTAGCACGCTAAGCTTTCTGGCGATGAAGCTCAGCAGACAAGAATAGCGTCAGCGCAGCCGAAAACGGCGGAGAGAAGCCCACAACCCTCTGCACAGTCTAAACACCCTGCCAATGGTCTGGTTCGGATGCAGCAGTCCCTGGTTCAGAAACCATGGTTTGTGAAGCCTGAAACAAAGGTGAAAACTATGAATTCAACCCTACCCTCATGTGGAAAGTCCCGGTTTGTTTTAAGTTCCAAAAGGGGAACTCTGGTTTGCTGTTAGTGTACTAGCTAGGATACTAAGCCATGGCTGTCAACCAGAGTTGTGTGTAGTGGGGAATTCTGGTTTAAAGAAAACCTGCCAGAGCAGGAGACGAGGAGCAAGAGAATCCCAGCTCTTGTACCTAGCTGTTGTTTATGAAGGTGAGAAGATTGCATCCAAGTCTGCCCATTGTTGTGACCACCAACCAAATCACACTGCTTTTCAATAAAGGTTGGCAAATAAACCTAGGCAAGAAACAACGTCTTGTTTGGTGTTCTGTTCCAAAACCACCAGTTCCAGGTTTATGTATCCTGCCTCCAGGAACCAGCAGAAGTTTGGGTGTTAAGTTGTGGGTGAACATATCAGACGACACAGCGATTCTTCAGACAGCTCTTGTTTATTCGCAGGCCAGAAATGAACTGAATTGGAAGGGTTCAGCCAACCTGCTTATACAGAGCTCCACTACAAAGCAACAGTAACAACTTTCTGTAACTATCCAATCACTGAACGTCACTTTCAATTCCTTATTTGCATATGTGGACCTGAGTGAAAACTATCTACAGTATCCCCCTGCTGGCCCAGGGTGAGAACTTCAGTACATAACATTGGGTACCACTTCTTATGCAGTGATGAGGAGGATCAAAAGGAGGAGAGGCAACAACAGGGGAGGAATTGTTTGCTAAAGAGCTAGTGGCCCTGAAAATACATTTGCACGGCTTAGGACTGTAGGAGTCATCTCTTTTCTTTTAAGATGATGTCAGCGTCATCTCCTAAGATTTCAGAAGTGGGCAGGAGCCAAGTCTTCCTTTCTCCCTGTGTTGCAATGTCACCTTGTTTCATGGTCCACATCAGGTTAGCATGATGTTTGCAACATCGGGTGGGGAGGAGAGGCACCCCAAGGCAGCCTTAGAGCAAGGAAAATCTGCTGGAAGTGAAAGCAGCTAGCTATTCATCTCATCAGCATACATCAGGCATACAGCCCTGATGCCATTAAAAAAGCAGTTTCGGGAGGTGAGAAGGAATTTGGAGTGAAGAAGCAGGGCGAGTAACTTAACCCATTCTATGTCTACAGATTCTCTGGTTTGCCTCCCCCACTCCCACCCCAGCACCACCATGGTCCAAAAATCTGCGTTTAGCTTTCATTTGAACTGCATTGGGAGACACCCATTTGGGCAGAGAAGCTGCAGACGGGAAATTTATTTCTGATTCTCTGCCCCTCTCCCGAATCTGCCTTTCCTTCATTAAGAAACAGCACAGGGCAATGCTTAAGTTTATATACATGTCCTGTTATTCAGCCCTCAATTCCCAGCTCTTTATAAACGTACTGAAAACTGCAGCTGGAGAATGCGCCATAATATTTGGTGGGATGATGTATGCGCCAACTCCTTGTACCATAGACAAATTTGAGTCTTTTTGGTGCAAGTCAGCAAGTCGAGAGTCATGTTTTCTCAGCCTAACCTACCTCGCAGGCTTGTCGTGAGGATAAAGTGGGGAAGGGGGGGAACAGTGCCACCTTGAGTTCTTGGGAGGAAAAGGCGGAGTAAAAATATAATACTGCAATATTTTTGTAGAAAAAATATATCAGGAGCTGCCTGCAGTCTCACCACCGAAATAAAAAGGTAAAGGTAAAGGGACCCCTGACCATTAGGTCCAGTCGTGACCGACTCTGGGGTTGCGGCGCTCATCTCGCTTTATTGGCCGAGGGAGCCGGCGTACAGCTTCCGGGTCATGTGGCCAGCATGACCAAGCCGCTTCTGGTGAACCAGAGCAGCGCACGGAAGCGCCATTTACCTTCCCGCCAGAGCGATACCTATTTATCTACTTGCACTTTGAGGTGCTTTCAAACTGCTAGGTTGGCAGGAGCAGGAACCAAGCAATGGGAGCTCACCCCGTCGTGGAGATTTGAACCGCCGACCTTCTGATCGGCAAGTCCTAGGCTCTGTGGTTTAACCCACAGCGCCACCCGCGTCCCTTAACCACCGAAATAGCTTTGTGCAAATAAATCAGGACGGACGCTCATTGCTGTATGACTGCCCCGTAAACAAAGCAGAACAAATGCTCTGTAAAGGCCGGGCGCTGTCTAGCCCCCTCATAAGCCTTGTGCAATCAACTCGGGAGGAACCCTGATTAAACAGCTTGTCTGGAGGGGGTCTGTACTGTCGTGGTCCAAAAATGGGACAATCTGTGCCTTGCCCAGGGGATGGCAGCAGTGTCTCTCGGATTTCTGCATGACACGTCTCTATAGCAACCGTGCACAAGCATGGCAGAGGAACTCTGGAGGGCAACAGCAAGGTTACTCGAAACTCCGCTGCTGCAATTCAAAGAGCAGGTTGGCTTGCCCAGAGTCGAGCCGCTTAGTGAAAGTTTCATTACCTATTCTCCCCTGAATTTCCCCACCAACAAAGTCATGCGCTGGACGCCTCAGGCTCTGGATCCCATTTCTGCCCGCAGGTTCCCAGGGCTCTTTGCCTCCATTCGAGGTTAATCATTCACCTTTTTAATTTCATTTATTTATTTATTTCACCGAGCCAACGGTTTGTATGAATAGAGTCATTGTGCACAGCGGGAACGAGCCCCAACCCCCAAACAATGGAGCAAGGAAAAAAAGAGAGAGGAAAGTGGAAAGAAGAGACGTCCAAAAAGTGCTCCAGCCGACGATAACAGGAGCTAAGCAGAGTGGCTGCAGATGCAGACTCCATAAACTGGGTGCCAGGATTATACGTAACTCGTTCCCCAACTTTTATTTCAACCCACCCCGTTCGTTCCACTGTGCATCCGCGCTAACAAGCAAACTCCTCTGCAGATGATTATTACTGCATGTAGGATAATCTCAGTCTTCTCAATCAACTGTACAAATGCCATATGCAGAAGAAGAAGAAGAAGAAGAAGAGCAGATTTAGACATGCCTGTGGGGCAGTTGCAATATGGTGAGATTTCTTGGGGCGTGGGGAACGACGCTGTATATGTCTCTACTGGAGCTCAGCAGCATAGCATGGGTTGCTGGTGCCCAGGGCACACGCTAGGCAGGCACAGGGCACAGAGCCAGCCACTCCAGCCCAGCCCTTGCCCCTGGAGCCAAGCGGGGCCATGCTATGCTGCCTGCCCACCCGCCAGTGCAGAAGGGAGCCCGGCCGGCCGACAAAGCCCTTGGTGGGCGAACCCCACGCCCCCGATGCCCATGGAGAGGGGTTGGGCCATGCTGGGGTCACCCCTTCGAGAGGAGCAAGCAAGTGCTGGCCGGGCGGCCCTTCAGCAAAGAAGCCAGGGACAGCGTGGCAAGGTCAGGCTGGGTTCCAGGGCCCAGAGACCTCCGCGGGCAGGCAAGGTGGGACAGGGATCCCTCAGGATTGCCTTTCTGGAGCCACATTCTCACTGTCTCAAGTAGGACTGGGACAGAGGCCTGTCTAAAATCCACTCGGTGTGACCAATACTAAGGTAGATGGACCAATGATCTGGTTGGGTATGACACAGTTTCCTGTGTTCCAATGAGGATAATAGCACTCTCTTGTTATTTGTCCGCAGAGTGTAATATTCAGAGGTATGCTTCCTGTTAATGTAGAGGTTCCACTGAGATTTAAAGGCAAATAGCCATTAATAGTTGCATCTTCCAAGGACATAATACTTTGATAATCGGATTTCCTCCCTTCCTCTCTGTCATCTTTCCCATTGCCACCATTTAGACTGGAAGCTCTTAGGGGCAAAGACCTGTATTCTTATTTTGTAATGTTACACTATTAAGTGATATGCTAGGATTCCTGCCTGTCAGTTTAGACTGCGCTGGACTAGAGGAGCGGATGGTTTGATTCAGTATTAGGCAGCTTCTGATCTGTTTTCATTCTATGCAGATTTAACCCGTTGATCTGCATATGATTAGCTGAGTTTAAATTAGTAGTTTGACATGTACTAACCCATTGACATGTACTAAAAGCAGAGACATCACCTTGCCAACAAAGGTCCGTATAGTTAAAGCCATGGTTTTCCCAGTAGTGATGTATGAAAGTGAGAGCTGGACCATAAAGAAGGCTGATCGCCGAAGAATTGATGCTTTTGAATTATGGTGCTGGAGGAGACTCTTGAGAGTCCCATGGACTGCAAGAAGATCAAACGTATCCATTCTTAAGGAAATCAGCCCTGAGTGCTCACTGGAAGGACAGATCGTGAAGCTGAGGCTCCAATACTTTGGCCACTTTCATGAGAAGAGAAGACTCTCTGGAAAAGACCCTGATGTTGGGAAAGATTGAGGGCACAAGAAGGGGACGACAGAGGACGAGATGGTTGGACAGTGTTCTCAACGCTACTAACATGAATTTGACCAAACTGCGGGAGGCAGTGGAAGACAGGAGTGCCTGGCGTGCTCTGGTCCAGGGGGTCACAAAGAGTCGGACACGACTAAACGACTAAACAACAAGAAACCCATTGTCTGCAAAGAGGAACGGCACCCATTGAATTTCTGCCTGCGAAAGGGCAATCAAAGACACAGAGAATAGGTGGCAATTCTCCCGGGAGTCTTTCACAACTTTAATGCTGTAGATTAAAAGCATTGCGGGGAAATTAAAACGGTGACCAGTAGCCAACTCCAAACTGCCACAGGTTTAGCCAATGTTTGGGCTGGGGGGCGGACACCATCTTAAGAGGGGACCAGCCGCAAGACATTTGGCTAAAGACCCTCTTAAACCTTTCCCTCTTCGAACGCAGAATCTGAGCTTTCCTCATTTGAAAGTGGCGGTGATTGCGAGGTTGGTATACAAGCAGATCCTCTCGAAAGCACCACCGGATGAAAAATTAATATGCAATTGCAACAATCCTGTACAAATTCTCTGTGTGTGTTCCTCTCTCTCTCTCTCTCTCTCTCTCTCTCTCTCTCTCTCCTGAATCTCCTTTTTTAAAAAGCATTTGCAAAACTTGTGATTTGATGTTGACTGGCGGCAGCGGGAGGAATATCATGGAACGGAGCATCTTATTATTTATATCGGGGTTTTATTGTGCAGCTTGATGCTGCTGGGCGAGGGTGGGCAGTCGCCTCTAAAAAATACAGGCCCGCTGGCAAAATAAGGTGGCACCTTTGCTTGACCTGCCTCAGCCAAGCCGGTGATGTAAGGCAATCCCATCATCAAGTCACTGAAGGAGAGGGTTGCTATGGCAATCTGTCTTCCCTCTCTCATCTTTGATGTTCGGCCGCTCGTTCGCCTGAATGGGAATGCGGAGCAGCGAAGTCACAACTCGGCGCTACAGAATCACAGAGGTGGAAGTGGCTTTGCTGGGCGTTCCCGCGTCTAAGGCAGGGAGGGAGGCCGCTGGCACCTTGGGCAGCTGGGGAGCGCAGGAATGGGAGCAGGGTCAGGCCCACCTCTCCGGGGAAAGCAGGGTGGCAGGGTGTCCTAATTTGCAGAGGATGTTCCTCTCTCTGAAGGTTAGCATCCTCAGCCAAGCCGGCACTCTTCGTTCGCTGCGTTGAATGGCATGGTCTGGCCGGGGGTGTGGCCTGAGAAGAGGGGGTGTGGCTTCGGTATACCTGAAGGAGCGTCTCCACCCCCATCGTTCAGCCCAGACACGGAGGTCCAGCGCCGAGGGCCTTCTGGCGGTTCCCTCACTGCGAGAAGCAAAGCTACAAGGAACCAGGCACAGGGCCTTCTCGGTGGTGGCACCCGCCCTGTGGAATGCCCTCCCATCAGATGTCAAAGAGATAAACAACTATCCGACTTTTAGAAGACATCTGAAGGCAGCTCTGTTCAGGGAAGTTTTTAACATGTGACATTTTAATGTATTTTTAATCTTTGGTGGAAGCCGCCCAGAGTGGCTGGGGAGATCTAGCCAGATGGGCGGGGTACAAATAATAATAATTATTATTATTATCATCATCATTATTGGGGGCCCCGTATTTGGCCCGCTGGCCCAAGGTTACCCACCCTGCTTGGGTATGCGCACATTTCAAACCCTGCGGCTTAAAGTTCTCTCCGTGTAATTTTCTCCGCATGCCACAGGTGTGCCGAGGCGCATAACGGAGATGACTGTAGCAGCCGCCGACAAGGACCCTTTCGTCGCTTATTGGCACCCCCGGCCCTGACCCACACGTAAAGAGACCTGCGGCTCAGAGGCTTGATTATACAGATTTCAGGGACCCCAGAGTCGGCGCAACCCTGTCATTTGGCGCAGCAACGGCAACCTGAGAGGGTAAACAAGGCACAAAAGCGCCGTGAGGCACTTGCAGAGTGTTGAATTGCCGGCCTGCCGCAGGAAGCCGTGGCGGAATAAAGCACACTGAGGCTGTCGGCATAATTTAATTAGCTTTTTCTAGGCATTTGGCTCAGAATGCCAAAGACCCCCCGCCTAAGCCATTGTAGCCGTCTGCGTAGGGTCAGGAGCAAAGTGGGCCCCTTCATGGTGACTAATGAAATGAATTCATTGTTTATTATTATTATTATTATTATTATTATTATTATTTGAATTTATTTACCGCCCTATACCCAGAGGTCTCAGCGGTTCACAGAATAAAATTAAAAGATAAAACTACAAAATACATCATCAAAATCAGTGCTCTTTTCCCCCCTAAAAATGTTTAGGGGTACTCTCATTTTGACTCAAGAAAATCACCATTTTGTAGTTCAAATCGGGGGAAATAAGTAAATAAAAATAAATACAGTAAATGGACAAAAGTACAAAGATTCACAAGATGTTTAGGAGTATGCGTACCCCTGCGTCCCCCCCGAAAAAAGCTCTGATCAAAATTAAAATGATAACCCAATAACACCCCGTCCAGAACAAAACCCCACATTTTAAAAGGGCATAGGAAGTCAATCACATCATCCAAAGGTCTGGTTAAAAAGGAACATTTTTGCCTGGTGCCAAATGTGTATAATGAAGGTGCCAGGCGAACTTCCCTGGGGAGAGCATTCCACAGACAGGGAGCCACTGTAGAGAAGGCCCCGTTCTCATGTTGCCACCCTCCGGACCTCTCAAGGAAGAGGCACATGAAGAAGGGCCTTGGAAGATGATCTCAGGGTCCGGGTAGGTTCATATAGAAAGAGGTGGTCCTTGAGGTATTGTGGTCCTGAGCTGCTTAAGGCTTTATAGGTCAAAATTTGACCGGGGAGTCAAATATAAGCCAGGTGAACTCTGGCATCAAGCTGATGCCTGTCTTCCTGCCAGCCAGAGTCCTTCTTTCATTCACAGCATGCAGACGCAGTGGATTCCCACATTGGTTGGCTTTTTAATTTTGAGAGGCAGCGTGGTGTAGTGGTTAGAGTGTCGGACTAGGAGCTGGGAGACCAGGGTTCGAATCATCACCCGGCACTGGAAGTTGTGGATTCACAACAGATATGCATTACCTTCTTAACTCCTTTGGGTTCAAACTTTGACTGCCCCCTCGCCCCCAGCTTCTCACACTTGGCAAAGACAGGTTTGGAGTTCCCTGGTATCGCCAAGGGCTGTTTTCTAAGGAAAGAAACCACATGTTTTCCGTTTTCACTCACCAGATAAGAGAGCTAACAAGACCAGCAGTGTGCGTTAGAGTGCTTTCTCTTTTGAAAAAAGTGGTTATGCAACCCAATTTAGCAGATGCATCTGTGACACATCTGGAACTGCTGGGGAAATCAGAATAACGTTTCTCTGTGTATGCGCACACCAAAGGTACCCCATGTGTCAATAAATGCTATTATTTAGGTCAGGGGCTCTTTGCAGTACAGTGGTACCTCGGGTTACAAACTCTTCAGGTTACATATGCTTCAGGTTACAGACTCTGCTAACCCAGAAATAGTACCTCGGGTTAAGAACTTTGCTTCAGGATGAGAACAGAAATTGTGTTCCAGTGGCACGGCAACAGCGGGAGGCCCCATTAGCTAAAGTGGTGCTTCAGGTTAAGAACAGTTTCGGGTTAAGAACGGACCTCCGGAACGAATTAAGTACTTAACCCAAGGTACCACTGTGGCGATGTGGGTTAAACCACAGAGCCTAGGACTTGCCGATCAGAAGGTCAGCGGTTCGTATCCCCGCGATGGGGTGAGCTCCCGTTGCTCGGTCCCTGCTCCTGCCAACCTAGCAGTTCGAAAGCACATCAAAGTGCAAGTAGATAAATAGGTACCGCTCCAGCGGGAAGGTAAATGGCGTTTCCGTGCGCTGCTCTGGTTCGCCAGAAGCGGCTTAGTCATGGTGGCCACATGACCCGGAGGCTGTACGCTGGCTCCCTCGGCCAGTAAAGCGAAATGAGCACCGCAACCCCAGAGTCGTCCGCGACTGGACCTAATGGTCAGGGGTCCCTTTACCTTTTACCACTGTATTATGGACCACCCCCTTTTTCTTGCACAGCGGTCGCTGCACGAGAGGGGGACTAAAAGTCTTGAAACCTGGCTCCTTCTTCATTCCATTGCAGCTGTGCCTTTGGGGAAGGGTCGCAGCTCAGCAGTAGGGCATGTGCCTTGCATGCAGAAGGCCCCAGATTCAACCTCCTCAACATATTCAGGGAAGGCTGGGAGAGACTCCCTGCTGAAACACCTCAGGATAGCTGCTGCCAGTCAGTGGAGGCAATGCTGAGACTCAGTATATGGCCACCTGAGGGATAGCTCAGTCAGCAGAGCAGAGCATGAGACTCAGAGTTGTCTTTATAGATGGTATTTAACTCTGAGTAGACTTGCTAAGATGGGATGTGGGTGGCGCTGTGGTCTAAACCACTTAGCCTAGGGCAGGGGTAGGCAACCTAAGGCCCAGGGGCCGCAAGCGGCCGAATCGCCTTCTCAATCTGGCCTGCGGACGGTCCAGGATTCAGCGTGTTTTTACATGAGTAGAATGTGTGCTTTTATTTAAAATGCATCTCTGGGTTATTTGTGGGGCATAGGAATTCGTTCACATTTCCCCCAAAAAATACAGTCCGGCCCCCCCACAAGGTCTGAGGGACGGTGGGCCAGCCCACGACTGGAAAAGATTGCTGACCCCTGGCCTAGGGCTTGCCGATCAAAATGTCGGCGGTTCAAATCCCCACGACAGGGTGAGCTCTGGTTGCTTGGTCCCTGTTCCTGCCCACCTAGCAGTTCGAAAGCTCGCTGGCTTCAGGAGCTGCTCGCTGCCATGGCGCCCGCCATTTTTCCTTCCCGGAAGTCCCCATATAATGTGTTGCGGCACAAGACACATCATATGAGGACTTCTGGCAAGGAAAAGCAGCAAGCAGCGAGCAGCTCCTGAAGCCAGCCAGAGCCAACTGCACTACCAGGCTGACTCCGGGCTGCTGAGGCTGCCACTGTCACATTTCCTGGGGACAGATTTGCAAATCTGGGGACATTCCGGGGACGGAATTTGTCCGGGGACAGATTTGCAAATCTGGGGACTGTCCCGGGAACCAGGGACGTCTGGTAACCCTAGACCATCCCTACTCGACAACCCCCTCTCCCAAAAAGCTCAACAACCTTGGCAAAAAAACTCAACAACTTTGTGTCCAGATTTCCACTTTTGGACCAGACACCAATGGACCTGGGACCCCTGGTCTGTCCTTAAATCTCATGGGAAGTGTTAGAGTCACAGGGTGGAAAATTCCTCTGGTGAAGATTGCAAAGTGGCAGAAACACTCCTTTGGTTCATTGGCTCTTTAATACAGTCATGTAGCGAGTGAAGGGGCCTGTTTGTCCACTATCTCAGCAACTATCTGCCCCGTTGACCCCTCTGTTTTCCTAGCTCCGGCCCTGGGACCAGCCAGAGAGTCGAGAAGATTAGAGCCAGTGTTCTTTGCAACAGGAACACTGTCGCCTCAAATCACCATCAAGCCTAGCTCTGAATGGGTCAACAACACCGAGATCATATCAGCATTGGATGCCTCGTTAACGTCAGCTGATTAAATTGCCATTTTCGAAGGATGCCCTGTAATTGCTGGGGTCCTCTTATTTATCGCTCGAGCTGCAGTGAATTTGCTCCCCAGAAATTCCCCTCTGTGAGTTTCGATCTCACGTATTATCCATGTATTATCCAAATCTTCAGATACTTGTTGAATACAGTGGTACCTCGGGTTAAGTACTTAATTTGTTCCGGAGGTCTGTTCTTAACCTGAAACTGTTCTTAACCTGAAGAACCACTTTAGTTAATGGGGCCTCCTGCTGCTGCCGCGCCGCTGGAGCACGATTTCTGATCTCATCCTGAAGCAAAGTTCTTAACCTGAAGCATATGTAACTTGAAGCCTATGTAACCCGAGGTACCACTGCATTCACTGAGCATTTGACAGATGCGGCTGAAATCTTAGGGTATTTGATTTCAGCAATTTGATCTCTGACACTATTTGAGACATGTGAAACCAGGACACCATGGTTTGTGCTGCTAAACTGTGGGTTAGCATAATGTGAGAATTCAGCCCCAAACTATCAGGTAAGCAGTCTAGTATTGCCTTCCATGACTGGCTCATAGCAGCAACTCTCAGGCAAGACTCTTTGCTACCAAAGAGATTATTTCACTGCAGGTACTAAGGATGCAGCTGAGATCTTTCTATTAGATTTTGTTTGTATTTTAATCAGAAACTATCTAATTCACATTTCTCAAGTTAATATGCAAACACAGCTATCAAAATTTGTACTTCTCTCAAATTAAAACAACCACCCCCAAATTAATAATAACAGTCCTTTCACATTTAACAGGCCACAGATTATTTAATGGTCAAAGGACTGGGTAAAGAGGAATAATAATAATAATAATAATAATAATAATAATAATAATAATGTATATGCTGCCCATTTGACTGGGTTCCCCCAGCTACCCTGGGCGGCTTTCAACAAATTAAAACACAATACAACATCCCTTCTACAATTGGATTGAAGACTTCTACAAATTCGCAACATATGAGCAACTTGCATATCAACGCAGACTTGCCACGGACAAATTCAATGATATTTGGAATCCATTCTTACAAATACTGCAATATGTTAAGATCTGGTGAAGTAAAATAACAACCTTGTAAAATATACAGTTTTGGGTTTCCCCTCCCTACTTTGTTTTCCATTCTGCACGGGTTCTGTTTCTCTTTCTCTTTTTCTCATTTTTTGTTTGTATCTCACCATGTTTTGGTGCACATATAATTATGCACTTTTTGAACTTTCAGTAAAGATGTTAAAAAATTAAACAAAAACAAAAAACCCAATACGATATCAACCATTTAAAACTTCCCTCCTGAACAGGGCTGCCTTCAGATGTCTTCTAAATGTCAGATGCTTGTGTATTTCCTTGAAATCTGACAGGAGGGCAGGCGCGACTGGTACCTAAAGATATGTAAGGATGGTGCTAGGCGAGCCTCTTTGTGGAGAGCATTCCGCAATCGGGGAGCCACCACCGAAAAGGCCCGTTCTCATGCTTCCACCCTCAAACCTCTCTGTGATGGGGGACATGGAGAAAGTCCTCAGGTGACGAGTGCAAGGCCAAGGTCAGTTTGTATGGGAGAGGAGATCCTTAAGGTATGGAGGTCCAGAGCAATGTAAGTGTGATGGCCTGGGACTCTGGCTCGGAACCGGAGGAAGACGCAGTCTGCACCGGATCCTTTACCTCAGGCATCATCTGAACCAAGTCTGGGGCCTGATTCTGAAGAGCCCCAGTCTGCACAGGTTCCCCTGCAACAAGCAGCAGCTGGGCCAAGTCTGGGGCCTGAGCCTGCCCTGGCTCCAGATGCGGGGATTACCTCGTTGCCTTCAGCTGGGCCATCGCTTACAGCTGCTCCACTACCAGTTGGGTCAGGGGAGGCTGAGGCGGCCTCTGGGACTAGTAACCCACCAACGTTTCCCAAGCTGCAGAGGCTAAGTTCTGAGAGAAGAAGAGTTTGGATTTGATATCCCACTTTATCACTACCAGAAGGAGTCTCAAAGCGGCTAACATTCTCCTTTCCCTTCCTCCCCCACAACAAACACTCTGTGAGGTGAGTGAGGCTGAGATACTGCTGAGAAGTGTGACTAGCCCAAGGTCACCCAGCAGCTGCATGTGGAGGAGCGGAGACGCAAACCCGGTTCCCCAGATTACGAGACTACCACTCTTAACCACTACACCACACTGGAGAGACCTGAGTACTCGCAGGAGGAGTGCTCGCCTTCGGGTGAGAAAGGGAGGTGAGTTGCCGGGGGATCAACACCGGCCGCTACCCCAACAAAGATAAAAGGCTGTCAGACCCCACCCCAGGTTGCGGGAGCAACATTGCTGTATGCTAGATCCTTCCTGAGATCCTGTACCTGTCCTTGCCTGGTTTCCTGCCTCGTGTCCTGCCTTGGCCCTGTTGGACTGACTCCCAGCAGAACCTTCGGATTCTGGACCGATCCTGGACCGCCTTTCACAGGTCACCCCAGGGCCCAGCACAGTAAGACTTTATGGGTCAAACACCAGCACTTTGAAAAGTAATTTTATGCTCACACCGACCCTGTGAGGTAGCTTTGGGAGAGAAAGAGTGAGTTGTCTAAGGTCATCCAAAGAGCTTCATGCCAAGTGGAGATTTGAACCTGCCAGGCCTAGAGTTGGTGCCTCTCTGGTGTGAGCACATTTTCTCCCCACCCCCCGCAAACACAGAAGAGGCAACGTGCGGCCGCAAACAGCTCGCTGCAAACAGCCTGCTTCCAATTTGCCACGATCTTTGGTCTCCATCAGATGCATATGAGTCCCGGGACGTGTCATCATGTGATTTCTCCTGGGGCCAAGAATCTCCTTATATGATGAAATGAACATCTGGCGAGCGTCAGATCCAATGGACACTAAGCTCTAAATAAGCTAGGAGCTGAAATAGCAGCCAGATGCTAAGATGCAGGAGGCTCAAACTTGTAACTCCCCGTGGCCCAAGAAACGGAAGGGGGCTCGGGGCATCATCTAGACTGACCCCTCCGCAAAGCCCACAACGATATTACCTTGATATTACACCTTGAGTTTGGGTGTAATCTTCGACACCTCCCTTTCCATGGAGGCGCAGATTGCAGCTATAACAAAGGCGGCATTTTTCCATCTCCGCCAAGCTAAGCAGTTGGCTCCTTACCTCTCTCGCCCTGACCTTGCCACTGTGATCCACGCGACGGTCACCTCCAGACTGGATTATTGTAACTCGCTCTACGTGGGGCTGCCCTTGAGACTGACCCAGAAACTCCAGCGGGTGCAGAATGCTGCAGCGAGATTCCTTACGAGGTCTTCGCTGCGAGATCACATTCACCCGGTGCTATACCAGCTGCACTGGCTCCCGGTGGAGTACAGGATCAGGTTTAAGGTGCTGGTTTTAACCTTTAAAGCCCTATACGGCCTAGGACCCTCGTACCTACGGGACCGCCTCTCCTGGTATGCCCCACAGAGAAACTTACGGTCTTCAAATAAAAACATCTTGAAGGTCCCAGGCCACAGAGAAGTTAGGCTGGCCTCAACTAGAGCCAGGGCTTTTTCGGCTGTGGCTCCGATCTGGTGGAACACTCTGTCACAAGAGATTAGGGCCCTGCAGGACTTGACATCTTTCCGCAGGGCCTGCAAGACAGCTGTTCCACCAGGCCTTTGGCCAGGGCACAGCCTGACTCCCTCCTTCGGCAATCTTCGCAGAGCTCTGGCCCAATGGCTGCCAGTGGTTTGTTTTGAATTAATTTTATAATGAATGATTTTAGAGTGTTTTGTTGTACTGTTGTACGGTTTTATTGTTGTTAGCCACCCTGAGCCCGGCTTCGGCTGGGGAGGGCGGGATATAAATAAAATTTATTATTATTATTATTATTATTATTATTATTATTATCTGTATCAGCTGCCAACTAAATGGGCCTCACTTTCAAAGATGGCCGGGTCAGACGAGGAACCGTAACCGCTTCCATTAAAGAGAACGAACGCTCAGGTGCAAGGCTCCTCATCCGCCGACGACTATTCCAGCCAGTTCATAGCAAATTTTGTTATTTGCTGATAAGGAACCGGGATCCCGCCGCGATAATGGAACGGAATTGTTTCTCCTCCTCTTTCAAGTTAAGGAAATCAGAGATGAAGCTATGGGGACTGAGTAATAAAAGATTATTCTCATAATAACAACGCAGAGATTTGCAGGGAGTTGAAACAGCTTCCCAGAATTAGAAGCTGTCAGTAATTATAACCTAGTTCAGTGTGGGTGCTATTTAAAGATAATATGTTAAAGGCGCCTTTGATAGAAATTATTTGATTGTGCCATTGGGGTGGGGGTGCCGGGGGCTCATTCAGCCTAGCAGCCGCAAGCCGCACTTGGGTGTCAGCGTGGCCTTTTCTAACGGGAACGTTTGGTATGATTACCCACAGATTTTGGATTTCTGTTTTCGTTCGTTCTCTGCATCAGTGTTCCCCAACTGTTTGATAGCTGAGGTGCACACAGTTCTGAGTCAAAACTGGGCAAAACACTTTTTGCAGGGGAAAAGGATGGCGCCTTTGAGAGTAAAAGCAGGAATTACTCAGAAGTCGAGACAGACAACTCTGTCCATTTCTGTTTTTATTTTCCAGTCTTCAGTTCTGTTCTTTATTGCTACAATCACAGATCAATCTCCATATTTTTTCCAACCTAAATTCGGTTATTGAATCACTTTGTTTCTTTGTTTGTTTTCAGGGTAAATGTTTATTGGGAGTTTTGAGGAAGTATTGACATATCCTTGGGGATAATAAAATAGTCAAACAAGCCAATACTTATATAATCATTTACCTTTGCTGGAGTCTTTGCCTTCCTTTGCACAATCCCATTAAGGAAAATATTTCCAGTAAGAGTTGGCTCTGCATGACTTTGCACATTTTATTTTATAAAAAAAGGTCTCACCAAAACTCACCAGCATTTTAGGGCTCATTTCTCCTTCAACGCGTATTTT